CGAATCAAAACAAATACAATTAATAAATCGAATAATAAAAAAATGTATCCGTATTTATCAAAATGTTGTAATAAAAATCTTATTAATATTTTGAACAGTAATAATAACTCGTATGATTTTTATCTACATGTATAAGTATACTTAATAATATATAATTAATAAGTTATACTTATTATTAAGAACATTATGACTCGGTAGTAGGGAATCATCGAGAAGGTTTCAACGGTTTCTCGAAGAAGAATACGAAAAAGAAGACAATAGTGACAATAGAAGACAAAATAACTGTGGTGAAGAATAATAGCTTGGAAATTGAAATATAACGAAGGAAAAAAGGTCATAATTTACATATTTACGTATTACTCAGATCTATATAATATCATAGAAAATACTTGTTCCAATGTCAAGATAGACGATAAAATATTCTCTCTCTTTCTTTTTCTCTCTCTCTACATATATGAATAACAATTTCACAACGAAAGTTTTTAGAAATTTTTCTCTCTATTTTAGATTTTTTTATCATATAAATACACGCATACATATATATTTATATATACATATTCATATACAGGATTCTCTGGATGATAATACCTACAAAAATGGACATCGTGTGCCATCTCGAAATACTATCAGATTTATCGTATAAATTTTAAAGCACATCAATTTGATTTCAAGTCGATAATGTAGATCTCATTTACATGAAGAAAACAATGTCATTTCGATGATATAAATCCCCACAACGATCTCATATCTCAGATTTATCAAGTTCTCATTTCGTTTATTAATACTTAACATAAATGAGACAAGAAAGAGGATTCCGCATATAGACCAAAAAAAACATCGAAAGTGTAAGATTTTTTAAAAATATTATTTCAATTTGTTCTTTGATATATTATTGTAGCATAATGAAATTAACATCACATTCGAGGTTATAATATTATAATACTTTCTAATATCGCAAGAGATATTCTTCTACATGGGAATATTAGAAAATATGAAAGAACATTAAAAAGTTCAATTCCTTGATGCTTTATACTTTCCCATGGATTTAATTTTCAACAATCATTCAATGTAGCCTTTACATCTATTCTAACCATTCCAAGGTAAAATTCATAGACTTGATTAATGATGTTACTTATGCTAGAAATTATTTTTTCCGTTCGAGTATCTTTAAAAAAAAATAAAAAAAAAACAACACGTACACAATTTTCAATGTACATTATAAATTTTCTGTTCTCTAGTTTCTGAAACGTATATACATATTATGAGATTTACGGGGAAGCTCTTAATGAATCCAAATAGTAAATTAAAAAGGTTAGCTAAAGAGAGAGAGAGAGAGAGACAGAGAGAAGAGATTACGATGAGAAGAAGAACGTGTTCGCCTCTTGATGAAACCAGTTCTAGAAGGTGTGCTTGGATTTAGAATCGATTTCTTAGCACGATCTTGGCGATTTACGTCTCTTGCCTATCCGTATAAAATCTCGAGCTTTTATCATAGCAACATATAATAATTGTAACGATCGCTAATCCGAGGAAGGTTCTGTCGACGATCTCGCTAACGAAGAGAATAAAGAAAACAAAAGAATAAGGAAGAAAAGTCGAATGGAAAAATATCCGTATTAATATGGTTAGTAAAAATTTGTTATATGATAATTCAGATTAATATAATAATAATAATAGTAATGATATTGAGATATATCATAATAATGAATTTAAATAACTATCCATGTATTCTATGTTAATTGTAATAATAAGAAATTATATATAATAGTAATTATTATTGTTATGTAATATAATATTTCTTATTATTGATATTGACATACATATAGTATGGATAGTAGAGATTGATATTTTTCGTATTAGAAACATGAATAGATAGACATTGTCCTAATCATTGATCAGGTTCAAAGAAAGAAATATACGATTTTATTCGTATGACAAAATGTATCTGAACTGTAAGTTTGCCTCCTCCCTCCTCTCTTTCTCTTTTACAGGTATATGTAACCAAACGAAAAGACAAAGAGAGAGGATGAAAGAAAAGAAAGAGAAAGAGAAGAGAAGGCACAGATAAATTTTTCTCACGGCGAAATAAAGATCTTGTCGGACACGAGGGGGTACAAGAAGAAACAGCCGTACGTGGTGGCAAGACACGCGTGTTTACTAAGATAACCTCGGCTTTCAACGACCGCTTCTCTTCTTCTTCTTCTTCTTCTTCCTCTTTTTCCTCTTCTTCTTCTTCCTCCTCCTTCATCTCCTCCTTTTCTCTGCGCACCCACACATTGTGGATTCGGTGTTTTAGTTCGAGTCTCTTCAAACTCCAAGTTAAGAATTATTAAGAGATCTCACTAGTATAGTTTTCATTTAACGCATAATTTCAACAAAAAAATGTTCAATTTTTTGAAAGCTGATTAGATGACTATCGCTATTAAAAAATAATTCCATTTTTTGTCATTAAATTATCAATTATTCTTGAGAAACTATCAAATATAGAATGGTATTGATGAGAAGTATTGTGCGATTGTATGCTATAAAAAAAAAAATGCAAAAGATATAGGTATCTTCCCTTCTTTTCATCCTTCTCAGCTAACTTTAGTCTCGATGGTTATTCGAGAATGAAAGTAACTCGAGTAGGATGAGAGAAGAAAAAAAGGGAGGAAGAAGAGACGCTATAACCTTCTGGTTTCGACTCGAAAGCGTTGAAAATGTACCTTAGAAAGATCGAACTACATATCTCGTGAAGCAAAGGAATATTTTCGAAGCTGCAAAATGAACGAAAATTTGAGTTAACATCGAAAATGAGAAAGAAAGAGAAAGCAAGCGCGCAAGAGAGAGAAAGAGAGAGAGAGAGAAAGAGAGAGAAAAAGAGAAGCTGACTCTCCTGCCAGATTGAATCATCTTTCGGACGTCTTTGCGATCTCTCGACCGTGATAAACTCGAAATAGAATTTTTCTCTTTGTCAAGAAAGGAACGATAATATTACAACACGTACGAAAAAGAGGAACCTGAGAGGAATATTTGATTACAATGGTACGATACAATTCTTTCCTCGTTACCTTCAATAAAATAATAAATTCCAAAATAGAACGATATATGTAATAAAGATACAAAAGCATTAATATGATAAAACTTTCGGAAAATATCAAGGAGGATTATCTTTTAATTGTTAATTGTATTGAAAAACTTTATGACATAGAGATGGTAACAAATTTATTATAGCTCGAAGCACATCGAGTAATTCACATTCGTAAATGAAAAACAGAAGAATAGAAAGCAAAGAGACGAGTCTCGAAACGAGCTCTACGTCCCCTTTCGAAGCATACTAACGTGTCAGGATCGTTTCGTTCCAGTATTTTACTACCTTTACCTGCCTGCCATTCGATCCCTTCTATACTTCTTGCTTCTCTAATTAACGATGGATCAATTAACGTCTTCTCACTTTCGTAGACCTTAAGATACCTTCCGATGAGTGATATATGTATACATATATATATATATATAAATGTATGTATATATGTGTGTATATCTACAACCGTGATTTTATTTTCTCTTTTATTATCAAGAATTATTTTACCATTGATTACTTGAGAATATATTTTTTCCTAATAATTTATACGTAATAATATTATAAATGAATCTTTGATCTTTACATTACACGACTAAATTTTCGTTTTTCTCTTCTTTCAGATAATCTGACACTAAATCATTTTTTATCTTAGCATTACCATTGGACAATATGCTAAAAGATCGCCTAACAGCTTTATTTGCAACCCCTTTTTCTCTCGAGTACATACATACATACATACTCGTTCACTCGAAAGTACGCAGTTAGGATGTTAAGGACGTGTCGTAAACGGACCTCTTTGTCTTTAGAAAAACGAAAGCGAAAAGAGAGAATTGGAGAGAAAGACACGTGCATATATTTATTTGTACCGTATCCACTTCGTGTTCTACGCTCGAGCATGCCGTGAATTATGACTTTTCGCGACTAACAAACGCTTCTCCTCTCGTTCGAGCATGCGTAGGAAGATTTCTTCTCTCTCTCTCTCTCTCTCTCTCTTTCATATACATTTGTAATTATCGTTAACCGGATCTCCATCTCTTTCTCTCCTTCCTTTATTTTACAGGACAACATTTGATATAACTCGATTCGTTTCGTCGTCGTCGTCGTCGTCGTCGTCATCATCATCGAATCACATTAAAATCTTCTAATTTGCTTTTATTAAAGCTCGATAAACGTCGAAGTGATATTTCAGCTTCGAATTCGAAAGTGGTTGATGTCTGTCACGGGAGCAAACCGTAAATGTGAATCGAGTCTGACATATACGAGAAAGAGAGAAAGAAATAGAGAAAGAGATAAGTTGCGTAGGTGTCGGTTATGATGATGAAAAGAGAAGGAAAAAGGGAAAGAAGAAAAGATTGAAAGCGACGGAACGAAGGCACGGTATAACTCTCATTCAACGTGGCAAACGAGTTGAAGGTGCTCTCTCAGAGAGTAATTAATCGCACACAAGTGCGAAATATCTTATGTGGAAATTAAAATGTGCTAACTCTCTTTAACGTGGGCGTTTATAACGATCGTGTTTTCTCACTATTACTGTTATATATTCTTCAATTTTCATTTAAATTATTTTCTAAGCAAGAGAGAAAAAAAAAATATATATATAATATGAGACTTGTAATATATAGGAAATCATGTCATAATGGGAACATAATGAACTATCAAAATGAAAAAAATAAATATATATATATATATATATGCAGTTTTAAATTACTCTTTGGACTTTTATTTTGAGTCTCATTCATAGAGGTATTCCTATGTCTATGAGTGCGACTCGACATTTTTTTTTTGTATTTTAAAAATGCTTAAACGTACAAGCCTTTAATGAAGAAATGAAAAAAAGGAAAAACATAATAAAAGAAATATAAATGAATGTAAAAATTGAAAAAAATGTATAACATGTATTAGAAATTATTTTCATATATCGTCATTGTGTGTGTTCCAGGAAGCAGAGAAGCAGCTTTCACGTACGCGATAAGCTCGGCTGGAGTTACATACGCGGTAACCGCAGCTTGCAGTCGCGGCAATATCACGGCTTGCGGTTGCGAACCGGCTATAAGGTAAACCGACGACTTGGCAGGCTCTTGCTGTCGTCCCTTGCGAACATATTAACGAGATTACCTGTGTTACTTCTTTTCTTCTCCTTCTACCTAGTTTCATTATATACATACCCTTTGACAGAAAAGGAAAATAGACGAATACATAATTAGTATCTTTCGTTTAGCAGGACGAGAAAGGAATTACCTCCGAATGGTTGGGAATGGGGAGGTTGCAGTGCAGATGTCACTTATGGAATGAGGTAGGCGGATTAATTAATAAAATCATTTTACGTTTCATTATGATCTCTACCTATGCATATCTTATGTACGTTTATATATATATATATATATATATATATATATATATATATATATATATGTACGTATGTACGTACGTATTAGATCTACTAAAAGAATTTCTCTTCATTTATTAATATTTAATTTCTTTGTAATTCTCTTTCTATTCCTGTCTCTATGAAAAACTAACATAAGTATATAATATTAAATATGAGCTATAATCTTAAAAACCATTTCTATGAAAAACTTTAAATCAACAATGATAATTTTTTCTTTTGATAGATCTAATCTAATTTTAATAATAGAATTTTAACATTGCAATTTAATGACAGGTTCGCACGTAGGTTCCTAGATGCAAGAGAGATCGAAGGCGATGCCAGAAGCCTGATGAATCTTCATAACAATAAAGCTGGAAGAAAAGTGAGTGCATTCTATCAGATGCTATTTTGCAGTAGACGAAATATATTTATATGCATTTTAATCAATGACAAAAATCTGTAAAAAAACGTAAAATTTTATAATGAACTTGTTTGTTCGAAAGGATTAACGATAATGATGGATCTCGATCGATGAAAGATTTACAATGGCTTGACAAGATAATAATCTTAGTAATGAGGCGTATGTTTATTTGCGTTCTTATTTAACACGATCTACAGACACTTATAGATCTTGATTTATTGAGCAATAACTTATACGAACGGTCAATCGTCGAGGAAATTTCACATTTTATTATTTCTTTTTACTTCGAAAGCATTTAAAACTTATATTCTTTTAGACAGACCTAATGCAATACAATAGGTATATACCTGTGTACAAAATAATTACACAGTAAGAAAAATAAAGAAAACATAAAAGTATTGTATCAGGTGAATTAACAACGGTGCAGATTTAAAGACGGTCGAATAATTCAATCTTATTGAAATAAAGTCCATTGGTTGTTCTATCTGCCTCTTTTAAGTTTACTAAAGCTTACTAAAAACTTACCTTACTAAAACCTTTACAATAGCTACATACTTACTAAAACTTTTACAATAAATATGTATATTTATTACGGTAGATAAATTATGGTACATCTTGGCTTAGGATGTTTTTATTATGAAAACAAACAGGTCATAGCAAAGTTGGTTCCTACAATTGCAAAGTTATAAGACCCTTTTTTACTTTCACTTTAATTACAATACGATATTAGAAATACTTAGTAATTTTCTAAGTAACGGAAAAATAATTAATTGTAAGAAAAGAAAATATAAGAAAAAAAGCTAACGCAAAATTATCCAACAAAAAAGTTGAAAAAGAAATTTGCCAACAAAAATCACTAATAGTAATATTTTTTGTAATCTTTTAGATCGTGAAAGCTCTTCTTCAAACTGAATGTAAATGTCACGGTGTATCTGGTTCCTGTACCGTGAAAACTTGTTGGAGAACATTGCCCAGTTTTCGTCAGATCGGTGACGCTCTTATGAAAAAGTATTATCGAGCTAAGGCGGTCGTTGCTATCACGCCTCCACCACCGCCCACAATCCAAGTAATGATCGAAGACATTCTTCATCGTAATTTCAATGAAAATTTATCGCATCTCTTCTACCTAAGATCGATTAAATTCTATTTCAATATACATATTCGAAGATTCTTTTCTTTCAATATTATATTTATCAAGAATATTAAAGAAAATAATTTAAGGATATAACAATATATACCAATGGTAAAGCCCATATAATATATCAAAATGATGACTTCGTTTTTTGTTTTCTTTTTTTTTTTTTTTTTTTTTTTTTTTTTTATAGAGTTCTGAGAGCATATCACACTCAACTACAGCAGAAATAACGCCTATTCTCGGTAACGATGCAAAAACTCAAGGGAAACCAAATGATTTTATAAAATCTCATCGTGATCGACAAGCCTCAAAAAAGATGAACAACGGTGTTAAACCGAGGAGATCACATTTGGTATTAAAAAGAAGTAAAGTTAGTACCGGCGGAAGTATGATGGGATCGAAAAGAATTCCTAAAAGAAGCGAACTGGTCTTTCTTCAATCCTCGCCGAATTATTGCGAGCCGGATTTGGCTTTGGGTAGTTTGGGTACACAAGGCAGATATTGTAATCGAACGAGTAAAGGTAGATTAAAAAGAGAGGACTCTCTCAATGTTTTCATTCAATATTTGATGACTTTGGTACACATTATATAATCAGAAATTTCTATTTCTTTTTTTTTTCTTTTTTTTTTCTTTTTTTTTTTTTTTTTTTTTTTTTTTGTAGGTACCGATGGATGTGATTTGATGTGTTGTGGTCGTGGTTATAACACACATCAATTTACTAGAACTTGGCAGTGTAGATGTAAATTTCATTGGTGCTGTCATGTGCATTGTGACACGTGTACCGAACGTACGGAAGAATACACTTGCAAATGATGTAAATATTTACTTTTCGAGAGAACATTTTCTTTGTGTAAGTGTGTTACAGAAAAATATTGAACGAATATCGACTGATCGATGATATTTTTTATTATCGTTCAGCTAATCTCTCTGATACATGATATAGCCTAATCATTGAAATCCTCGCAAAAAAAAAAAAGTATACAAGTGAGATTTACATGTATAGGTACATTAACTAAATATTAGTTTAAGAAAATTTACAAAAAGATTTACTGATGAAATAGAACTTAGTTCTCTAGCATTATGTGGTTGTACCTTTTCAAACTCAATCTTAGAACAATATCACATCAATTTGTTGCACTATAATTGAGCTCAGAAATGTTGCATTTCAAAATGTTATTATATTAGGAATGAAAATTAGACATCTCTCTCTTTCTCTCTTTTTTCTCTTACTCTTAGATATGTTGCATAAATTATTATTTATTTTTTATTATAAATAGACTATACTCGTGTGTTGTGTGTTGCTGCGTGTGTATGAGTGTAAAACTATATGTGTACATACATTTATAGTTGATGTATTTACCAATTACTAAATTTCTCTGCGTATTTCTGACACACAGACATTGTTATATGATTTTATTGAAGCTTTCACCGTGATTGTAAAACGTCAAGAAATTCAATAAACTAATAAATCTAAGTAGAAACATCAGGTATATACCATACGTAAATACGTATACCTGCAGCAAATACCTATACCTGAAGAGGCGAAATAAAGAAAAAAGAATCATTTATGAATTGCAGTGGTGGGGAAAAACTACTATATAAATGGGTAAATTTTCTTCAATTTACCAGTTATTTTCAAATTTTCAACTGAGACGCATCGTGTCAGATTCAAACTTTGGTTTCTTCTGTCAAATACCATACTCCAGTCTAACACACTACGATACTAGTACACTATATAGTTTCTGTGAAAAAAGAAAAAATGTAAGTACGATTGAATTCTTTTTAATAGTGAAATATACCAATTTTTTCCATAATAATAAATAAGCAAATCTTGTGTGATTGTAATTAATAAGTAATTGAAAATTGTGAGTGATATATGTGAATTTATTTAATGTAATGAATTAACGATCGACTCATTTTTTTTTTTTTTTTTTTTTTTTATAAATATAACAAATTAATATCCAAAAAGAAATTTTTAGATTATACTTTGATTCTAATTGCAAAAATAAATATTAGTAGGATAGTTCCAGGTCTTTAAAAACGAGTATTTAATCTCTACATTAAAAACAACTTATCTAATTTCTTAATTAAAAACAAACAAACAGTATTGTTTAATAGTTCTTTTTTTTGTCTTTTAATAATTGTCAGTTCTACTATTAAAAATATTTGAAAATCTGACTATATTTACAACATATAAGAATGAGTCATCTCCTCATCCAGAATTATTCTATTATTATTATTATTAATATTATTATTAAATTTATCTCTTGGCCAATATAAAATAAATAATTAAATATAAAAATAACTTTTTTCTGTACAGATACATCAATTATCAAAAATGAACGGAATGATGGCAGCAAACTATTTTCTTCTACCAAACAACGACGATGAATATCCAGAAGAAATTTTACAATTAACACTACCACAACTACCGTCAAATTATATTTGGATGGCAATTTCTTGCACTTGCAACAGACATCATGTGCACTTCCCAGTACCGATTGAACATCCGATTCATCACGTTGGCCCTAGTTATGTTGAAATTGATGATGAAATACCTATCGAAAATGATCTACCAATCGGACTAGAAGAAAGGGAACCGGATGCCATAAGACGAGAGTATCGACGAAGACGATACTTTCAACATATGGAATTCCAACAAAAAGAACAAGAACGTATAGAACGAAGAAGACGAGAAATGAGATATTTACAACTTGCAGCACAACAAGTTGTAAATCGATATGAACAAAGAAATGAAGAAGAAGATGAAGGGCAAATAAATCCACCACCATTGGAAGCAATTCCACTAGAAGATCAGCCGGAACCAATCTTCTTGGAAGAAAATCTCATGGAAGAAAGAATAGAGCCATCAGTGAACGAACCACCTGATGTTCACAATAATTTAGAAGAAAATTTAGATCGTTAAAATAAAATCTATAATTAAATTATTTTAATTGAAAATAGTTAATAGTTAATATAAGCATGAGAAAATGAAAGAGAGAGAGAGAATATGTGTGCATGTGTGTGTGAGAGAAAGAGATACATAACGATGTAAATTCATGTATAAAATTCTTTTTTTTCAACATTTCTAATGATTTACTCTTTCAGTATTAAAATTAAAAAAGTTATTAAAAATGTAATAACTTCCTGTACTATTTTTTATACATGACTTTACAAAAAATATTTTAATAAATGCATATCAAAAATCTAACTTATATAATATATATAGCAACATATCAATATTGTAAACCAACATTGTAATAAATCCAATCTATGTGTTTCTTTTATATGAATGTGTAAATGTTTCTTTTTCGTATTTTATACTTTAAATATAATAAAATATTAAATATGAACTATGAAGAAATATTTTTGATATTGTGCATAGAAATTTTTATACAACCTTCATCTTTGTAATTCCAATCTGAACAGGAAGGCATACTTGTGCACTTGAATATTAAGAAAAATATTTGACGAAGCTTTAAAAAGCATTCAACATTTCTTGTGCTTCTTTCTTAGCTTGAACATCTTCGTGGGTTGTAGTCGGATATTCTGTGGTTAATTTTAAATATCTGAGAGCATCTTCTTTCCTACCTAATTTTAAATAAGTTTTTGCAAGCATAAGTAAATTATAACTATAAAAATTAGGACTTGTTTCTTCTGCCTTTTCAAAATATATTAATGCCTCTTCAAAGGATGAATTCGGAGGTTCTTCAAATACTAATGATGCAATTTTTCTTTGATACCATGCTAAATCAGATACTTGATAACACCAACTGCCAAGCATGTACAAAGTAGTAGGGTCCTTTGGATTTAATTCTATTGCCCTCTATGATAAAAAAATAAGAAATAAAAACAAAAAAAGGAATTCTGGATAATGCATTATTAAGGTAGATAAAACATAAATAGCATACAAGCATATGCTTCTTAATGCTGTATAACTGTTGTATCCTAGACTTCATGCCTTCCATAGCACTTTTACTATCAAGTAATATTGACATCCATTTTTGTACAGCATAATGATCCTCTTTGATATTAATTGCAGTTTGTATAAAATTATAAGCTTCTAGAATCATTTCTTTTGCTTCTGATTCATTAGCTGTCTTTGACAAATTATATAAAACCCTACTCAAACGCCATAGAATCTCTACGTCCTCATTATGCTAGATATACAAAAAATAAATAATATTTCATAAAAAATAAAACAAAGAGCACTCGATACCTTGTAGTATAACTCTATACCTTGTAATTTGATAAATGTTTATATAATTGCTTGTATAAGCCTTGGTCAAACAAAACATCTGCCGTTATAATATAACTTTCTTTCGTAGCAATTTTTTTTACTTCGTTATTATTCTCTTTCTCTTTCTCTTTGTCTTTTGTGGATTGAAAAGTCCAAAGAGCCATCATAGTGGGTACTACATAAGTCAGTTTATTACTGAAGTTACACTTCTGATTCTGTTAATAACAAAAAGTCATTAATTATTAAAAATCATTGCCATTTCATTTCTAAAGAAAAAAAAATTGTTCGATTACCGTTTGTACTACTAAAGCAACTTTGCACATATCGAACCTTTGACATATTTTGATCGAGGTCATGAAACGAAACACTTTCGACAACATTGTCAAATATAAACAAATAAAATTCATATAAAAATTATCAAATACACATAATTTATTCTTTACTTATATATATATATATATATATATATATATATATATATATATATATACATATACATTATATTTTAAAAGCTAGGCGAGAGAAAGAGAAATGGATCACGAATGAACAACCGTGCAAGAAGAAAGCATATATCACTACTATTTGTTCCTACTTGGAGATTAGAATGATCGAGCGTAAACAGAGTTATGGAAATAACCGACAATTTTTTTTAACGAAAATGAAAGATAAATGTCAGTATAGGTACGTATGTATAAACATTAAATACAAGAGAATAACGCCCCCTGGTATTCAGTATATCAACTCTACTTGACATTTATTTAAAGAATATATAATGCATATCTAATACTGTAATATGATTTTTTTTATTTATTATTTAAACGATAACAATTCTTTTGCGTGAATTGCAAAGTGATAAAACTCCCAGGTCGATAATATAGATATTTAATATCGATACAGAGAGATATTTAATATCGCAACGACACTATTATAACCAACTTCAATATGTTAAGTATCGATCTATTCAGTGATATCTCTTCTTCAGTGTGTACATAGTTGAAATTGATGATAAAGAAAGAAAAGTTATATTAAAGAAATAATTATTATAATACATATATATATATATATACATAATCGATTAGTGCAGTCGTTGCTACTTTTTAAAGTATACAATGGAAACGATATTAGAGCAACAACGACGTTATCATGAAGAAAGAGAACGTTTGATGGATGCTATGGTGAAAGAAATGCTTTATAAAAAGCCAGGACATCGTGAAAATATAAATTCTGAGCATAGATTAAAGATGTTGTTAGATCAGTATATGGATAGTACTGCAAATTTACAAGATTTGTACGAAGATAAAGATGGTCAAAGAAAAGAGGAGGTAAGAGGTTATGTTTTTGCATCTCTATGAGCTAATAATTTTCTCTTTTTAATAATTTTTATACAATTTCCAGGTACAAGCACTTTCAGGCCCCAACGAATTCTCAGAATTTTATTCTCGCTTAAAATCAATTAAAGAATTCTATCGTAGACATCCAAATGAAATTAGTGTACCCATGTCCGTTGAATTTGAAGAATTAGCCAAAATGAGAGAAAATCCTACGGAGGAATTATCTAATCTTGTAGAATTCACCGACGAAGAAGGTTATGGGAAATATTTAGATCTCCATGAATGTTATGAAAAGTATATTAATCTTAAAGGAATCGAAAAAGTTGATTACATCACTTATTTGTCTACCTTCGATCACTTGTTTGATATTCCAAGAGAAAGAAAAAATGCTGAATACACGAGATATGTCGAAGCCCTTTTATCCTATTTAGTTGATTATTTAAGTAGAGTTAGACCTTTGCTGGATATAAATGCAGAAATTGAGGAAGCCAATAAGGATTATGAGACGCAGTGGGAAAATAATACTTTTCCAGGATGGCCGAAGGAAACTGGAAGTGCATTGACACACGTTGGAGCACATTTGGAACTATCCGCTTTTTCATCTTGGGAAGAGCTTGCATCCCTTGGATTAGATAGATTGAAATCTGCATTAATGGCTTTAGGTTTAAAATGTGGCGGTACTTTGGAAGAAAGAGCCCAGAGACTTTTTAGCACAAAGGGTGAAGCTTCTCTTGATCCTAATTTATTAGCCAAAAATAAAAACAGAAAGTCTGGTAAAGGGAAAGATACTGAGAAACAGAAGGAGATTGCAAGGTTAGAGTCTCATGTTTATAGACTCGCAGAATTGGTATCTAGTCAAAGAGTAGCTACAAAAGAAAATGTACAAAGGAAACAAGCTAGAACGGAAGGTGAACGGGGTGATTCCGATGCAGAAGCAAGTGCAAGCGAATCCGAAGAAGAAGATGATAATGAAGTACCTTATAATCCTAAAAATTTACCTCTCGGATGGGATGGCAAACCTATACCATATTGGTTATATAAATTGCATGGCCTTAATATTAGTTACAATTGTGAAATCTGTGGAAATTTTACATATAAGGGACCAAAAGCTTTTCAAAGACATTTTGCAGAATGGAGACATGCTCATGGTATGCGTTGTCTCGGCATTCCAAATACCGCACATTTTGCTAATGTAACTCAGATAGAAGATGCTCTTGCCTTGTGGGAAAAACTTAAGACGCAGAAGCAAGCCGAACGGTGGCAACCAGAACAAGAAGAAGAATTTGAAGATTCTCTTGGCAATGTGGTCAATCGTAAAACATATGAAGATCTTAAAAGACAAGGCTTGCTATAAAATAAGATATCAAAGTAGAAGTTTATACAATTAATATTATCTATATAGAAGGAAGCTTTGCTTATTGCGTAATCGATAAAATAAGGTTTAATAAAAAATATGATATAAAAATTAAATTGTTTAATATAATATGGCATATCGTTTGTAATCCATTATTCTATGTTCATCTATGATTTATTATTTAAATTGCCTTCTCATTTCAACTCCTCGATAGTTCTCTTATATTCCTTTGATTGATTTAAAGTCAGTTTCAAGCTACTAGGGGGGGCTTTGCCCGAAACATTGAAAGGGCCAGATTCTCAACAACCAATGATTACACAATTTTAAAATTCTAACCAGCCAAAAATTTCGAAAGCGCCATCTGATAGGAGAAGAAATATTTCTGGCTAGCAACGCCGATTGTACGATGGTGTTAATTTCTACGGTGTTCCGAAGGAGGTCTATATCGGTTTGTACATCGATTGGTGATCGTTTTTATATGCTTACTATTAATAACCGTATATATTTATTTGAATTAGACGAATATTGATTAATCGTTAATAAAAATGTTAGACATATATTTTTCATATATAATATCGTTTTAACAAAATTAATGTTTTGAATTTCTTCCTGCCGTTTTATAACCACGTGTTTTGAATTTTATCGTTCTAGCCGAAATCAAAGCTTAATGTAAATGACTTTACGAGCCATTGAAATAAAATTTGCAGAAGACGTTAAGAAATGCCATATTAAAATGAAAAACCGTTACGACGACATACTATGTATATTTAAATTTTGATAAATATTACGACTGTACAGATTAAGCTCGTCACCCCGTTATAGAGGCATGCTGAAGCAAAATGACGGAATTTGTGGAAGGTTGGATTTTAGGACACACATTAGGAGAAGGTGCTTATGGCGAGTGAGTATATTATTTTCTATATTAAACGATAGAAACATTTTCAATTAGATTTACAAATTTTATATTTAAAATTTAATTGTATGTATTTTCTTTTTTCTTTTCTTTTTCTTTTCTCTAATTTGCGTACGTATTCTATCCTTTCAAATATTGCATCTTCGTCTCATAGTTCTTAAGAAAAAAAATAATAAAAAGTGTTAAAATAATTTAATGTTTTATTTATCTACCTAACATTTATTTCGTAAGATATTAATTGAACATTGAGAAGCTTTTTCTAATGGGCAATTTTTTCTGTCATAGATATATTATTGGCTTTTATCAATACTACATTAAAAATATAAGGATTTTCATCTTTGTAAATTATGTTTCTTAAGTTCACTTTAGAATGCTCCTCCATAACACCAAACAAATTTTTATTTTTAATACGATTCTTTTTCTTTTTATATATGTATATATATATATATGTATATATATATATATATATACATATACATATATATATATATATATATATATATATATATATATATATATACATACATACATACATACATACATACATACATACATACATACATACATACATATATATATATATTTTTTTTTTCAGAGTTAAGTTAGTTATAAATAAGACTACGGGCGAAGCTGTTGCTATGAAAATGATAGATGTACAAAGACATCCAGATGCTCGACAATGTGTGAGAAAAGAAACTACTATTCATAGAATGTTGTCAAATCCTAATATTATACAGTTTTTTGGAAAGCGCAGCGAACCAACCATGGAATATATATTTTTAGAGTATGCTTCTGGCGGAGAACTTTATGATAGAATTGGTTGGAAACATTAACATAATTTTATTTATACTATGTCTGTAATGTAATTGTAAAAAAAGAAAATAATTTTTCTATCCTTCTCAACAGAACCTGACATTGGTATGCCAACCTATGAAGCTCAGAGATATTTTAAACAATTAATTAATGCAGTTGAATATCTACATAGTCGAGGAGTTGCGCATAGAGATCTCAAACCAGAAAATTTATTATTAGATGATAATGATAATTTAAAAATTACTGATTTTGGATTAGCAACCATTTATCGTGTACAAGGAAAAGAACGTACTTTAGAAAAAAAATGTGGAACATTACCGTATGTGGCACCAGAAGTTCTTGTGCAAGCTTATTATGCTGAACCTGCTGATATTTGGTCTTGTGGTATAATTCTGGTGTCCTTACTTTGTGGAGGTAAGTATTACATTTTATTTCACTTATGTTGTTTTTATATATTATTATTATATTCGATTTCTATATGTTTGGCGTTATAAATTATAAATAAATGAGAAAGATCGTTAATATTTATCGCTCATAGATCAATGTGCCTTGTAGTTTGAATTAAATAAAACTTCTAATGCGTAGCTTACATTCCTTAGTTTTTAACTGGTCCATCTCTGAAATATAGAACTGCCTTGGGATCAATCCTTGGCAGAATGCCCAGAGTATATGGCATGGAGGAATGGAAAATACATGTCACTTACACCATGGAAAAAATTGGATAACTTAGAATTATCTTTAATCAAAAAAATCCTTGCACACGTACCATCTACTAGATATACAATAAAAGAGATTAAAAATCATCGATGGTTTCTTTTGCAATTGGAAAAAGGTATTCATGATAATTAGATTTTATATTAGTAATAAATTATTTTTCAAATTTTTATGGTCACTTGAACTACATTACAAAATGTATCAGTGTTTACTTAGTCAGGTACTGAGTGACTTTGAGCATATACAAAATTACCCAAAGCTGCTTGGTACCTAACTGTGTGGACATCTGTTTCTACGGATTTTCTCTTTTTGTTTATTAATGTAAGTATTCGAAATTTGAAAGAGACATTCTCTCATGTTTCTATATACTATTCCATATCACTATCACTGATATTATTCTTTTTTCAGCAATATAATTACAAATGTGTTGTTCACCTTTTCATTATGACGGCAATATTATAAATAGCTATTGCCTTTTCTTTGGTAATACAGCTCTATGATTTTAATTAATGGTCATAAAGCTAGATTACCAAAGCAAAGAGCATCGGCATATACATCCAAGCGAAGTGAAGAGTAAAATTAAAAAAAATAACCGTGGTATTAAGTAATAATATATTACTCTATAATATGATAATTCATATAATAAAAATAAAAGTGATATTTCACTTTTTTTTTGCTGCAGATGATTTAAGTAGTAGATATAGTGTGCCTGCTAGGAACTGTACTCAAACAGATGGAGAAAATCCATCAAGATCTTGTTTATCACAACCTGACTTAGTTGGGGAGGAAAATGTTAATATTGGGAATATGAGATTAGATGAAAGATCAGGTTTCTCATTTTCTCAACCTGCTCACATTGAAGATTTGCTACTTTGTACTCAACCAATGCAATGTACTGCGCATGCAAGTCAAGTAAGTTTATATGTTAAATCGTTTGTGTGCATTTATTTATATATACACACATTGTGTATATTGATTCACATAAATATGAATAATGCAATCTATATTATGTATATTTTAGCAAACACCTTTCCAACAACTTGTAAGACGTATGACTAGATTTTTTGTGACAACAGACTTCGAAATGACAGTAAAAAGATTATTGAATTGTTTACAATATGAGAGTTATACTTATCGTATTAACGATTTTCGCATTGTAAGTAGTTTAATTAATATTATTTTGTGATATTATTTTCCACACAACGTGCAACTTTGTGCATAATATTCTTTCAGATTACTATATCAACCGTAGACAAAAGAAATATGCCTTTAGTGTTCAAAGCGAACGTTGTTGAAATGGATAATAAATTATTGGTAGATTTCAGATTGTCAAAAGGTTGTGGTATTGAGTTTAAAAAAAAGTTTGTTAAATTTAAATCTCTCCTCACTGATATTATTTTAAAAGTTCCTGTTACATGACATGTGTTACCTATGTATATGGAAATCATGACTAGATAAGATTTTTTGTGTCTATTAACAATGGAATTTAATGATTATGTTCTTATATATATTTTTTTTATAAAATACTTATATGAAGTTATGCTATATTGTCTTATCTTTCAGAATTACCTCCTTATTCCCTTTTCTAATCTTTCAAGTGAATCTTTGTTTCTGCAATGAAAAATGAAATTAAAACTAAACATGAATATTTGAAGATTTACAAATTTCTGTTCACATTGATCTGACGGAGTCAATATTGAAAATATTACATTATTTGCTTAGTAAGTTTTAGACAAAAGATTTTATTTATATTTTTTAGGAATGTAATTAAAAATATTTTATTTCCTAGTTTGAATATATTCCCTAGAATTAGGTAAATATCTTGCTTACGTGTCTGTAACCTATTATATAGGTTAGAATTATATAGACCGTCTTTAAAGAAATCAATGCAGTGATCCAAACGTGTTATTAAAGACACAAAAATTGTATATTTATAATGAATATATAAATAATTTTTAAGTACAATTAGAGAAAGAAAATGTTATTTCTAAAATATTTAATATTTATAACAAGTGGTACATTAGTATTTTTATTTACATGTTATATTAACTTAGCCTATTTGTTGGATGTATTTGGACAATTGTTTTCATTTAATGCCTTTAAACTAAACTATGATTATATAGTTGGTACGTTTTATCTATAGTTAACACACAAATAGTTACAATAAGCTAATATTTTCCATTGTTCATCTTCTAATTGTTTCTTTTGCAGTTGGAGCTGGAACTTCTGGTGCAATTATTGCTGCAAGATTAGCAGAGAATGGACAAAGTGTGTTATTAGTAGAAGCTGGTGGTACAGCACCACCATTTTTAGATATACCCTTATTGTCACCATTATTACAAAACAGTATATATGATTGGCAATATATAACTGTACCCCAGCATAATGCTTGTAAAGCTTTAAAAAACAATGTATGTAAATAACACAAATTACAATATTTTGTATTAATATCTAATAATGTGTTCGTTTATAGCAAAGTAAATGGCCAATGGGAAAAATTCTTGGAGGAACGAGCAGATTGAATTATATGACATATGTACGTGGACATCCTCAAGATTATGCCAACTGGTTTCCTGATTTTAATGGTATTTATATAATATAACTTTATGTATTTTTGTATCACGTTCTACATCTGCTGCACTATTAATATTTTTATACCATATAGATATAATTATATCATTATAGATTATATAATTGGGAAAAATGATTCAGTGAAAATACAAAAATCAAGATGGCATACTGATCTTGTTAATGCGATATTAAAGGGTATAGTGGAAATTGATGGAAAAGTTAGTAATATAAATGAAGCTTTAGATACAGGTGCTAATATATTTTATTAAACTGTTAATAATGTATAAAATCTATAAGAATATCCAGAAGTTTATTAATTTAGGTTTCATGAAGGTTCAATTATTTGCTGATAATGGAAGAAGATGGAGTACGGATGATATGTTATATAGAAAATATCAACATACTTTGGACATTATTACTCATGCACGAGTTGATAAAGTATGTTTATCATATTTATTACATGTAAACTATATATTTCTATTTAATATATACATACATATATATATATATATATGTATATTATATATTTTAATAGGTTTTACTAAATTCAAAAAAGGCTACAGGAATACAGTTTACAAAATTTGGTAAAACTTCCAAAATCACAGCTAACGATGGTGTCATCGTTAGTGCTGGTGTAATTGGTAGTCCAAAATTACTGATGCTCTCTGGAATAGGCCCAGAAAAATATTTAAAAGATGTGAATGTAAATTCTTTTTACATTTACTTTAGAAGTAATGTTTTCCATAATTATTTAAAATTAATATTCTAATGTAAAAACTGTATAATTTATTAGATCAAAGTGATCAATGACTTGCCAGTGGGTCAAAATTTAATGGATCATGTTCTCACTGGTATTGATTTAGTAAGACTGAAGACAAGTTTATCTATCAGTATGACTAATGTTCTTAATCCTATGGCACTATTAAATTATTTCTTTTTTGGCAAAGGTAAATAACTATAATATAATGAAGGAGGAAGAAATACATCTAATATTATCATTTTAGGACCATGGACATCCTCGGGTATTGAAGTTTTAGGAACATTTCACAGTACTTTACAAGAAAATAAATTTTCAAAACCAGATTTACAATTAATGATATTACCTCTTGGTATATCAACGGATTATGGCATAGTTCTCAAAGAAGCAATGGGAATATCTGATGAGGTAATAATATAATTTAAAGTTTGAGCTTAATTAGGAAGATATCAATTGAAACTAATACATGTAAATAATGTACATTTATTATATTTTTTTTTTTTTTTTTTTAATAGGTGTATGGTAAATACTTCTCACCTTTAGAGAATGATAATGTTGTAACAATTGCACCAGTTTTGTTACATCCAAAAAGTTTAGGAGAAATGAAACTTCGTAGCAAGGATCCTTCTGATGAACCTTTAATTGATCCAAAATATCTGTCTAATAAATACGATATTGATGCTCTTATAGATGGTAACAACAATGTTTGATAATTGATTAATTAATGAATTTATTATTTATCATATAATAAATACATTATGCGTTTTACAGGTATACAATATTTAAAGAAGCTCATTAACACAAATGCCATGAAAAAGTTAGGTGCATCTCTTTACAAAAAATCTTTTCCAGGCTGTGAGGCTAATGAATTTGATTCTTTAGAATATTGGGAATGCTATGTACGGCATTTATCATTAACTGCTTATCACCCTGCAGGTACATGTCGTATGGGAGATGTTGTTGATACATCGTTCAGGTAAATAAGAGATTAGTTACTTTTTAATATATATTTTCAAAAGTAATCATTCATTACTAATTCGCACTATAAAAAAAATCCACTTTATATTAATTTAGTTTTGATGCTTTTATTGAGAAATAAAAATTTATTGTAGGGTATATAATATAAAAAATTTATATGTTGTGGATGCATCAGTATTACCATCTCTACCTAGCGGCAATATAAATGCTGCTCTCATAATGATGGCAAAAAAAGCTGTTGATATTTTAAAACAAATAAAAAATAAACAATTGCACAGTTTTAGGAACTATAATAATACATCTCTGTTATGTTATACATTTAATATTTGCAATAGATTTTGTTATCCATAATTAACTTGAATTTCTTAAATTAATATTATTATTTTTATCTGCAATATATTACTTGTATTTAAAAATAAGAAAATATTTCGTTATTCTAAATAACAAGAACGATGTTTAAGATATATTCAATAGGGAAGTCTTCCTATATATTATATTACATTTTAGTTTTATAGAAATAATTATTTAGTTATTTAATTAATTATTATTCTCTATAATAAGATTGTACATATATGCTCATACAAATAATAATATTATGATTATTAATCATTTTTAATACTACGATTATAAAACTAAATATTTTTTATAATACAATTAAAAAAGAAAAAAATAACTGAAAAGATGTATTTATTGAAATTAAAAGAATTTTCTTTTTTCAAAATTTCACCCATCAAGAATACAAACAATAATCCATAATTTAAAGCAACTTTTACTTCAAAACAAAGTTATTATATCAGAAGTTTAGTTATTATAATATTCAGAAAAGTATTAGCTCTTTTTTAAATAAATGTATCCCATTAAAGAAAAAATATATACCTTCTCTTCATTTTATCAGATTTATATTTTTAAATATTAATAATGTCTTCTACTATTTTTATAATTACTATGTTTTGAATAATCACTTGAATGACTACTATTACTTCTACTTTCATAGGATCTATGTTCTTTATGGTGATCATATTTGTTATTTTCATGATCACGATGATAAGGATGATAACTTCTAGAATGTCTATCATCACGATGAGTATCAATTTTGCCAGTATACGAAACTGTATTTTGTACTATATTCGTAGGAAGCATACCTGAACCTACATTTGGCATAAAGTTTCCTATAAACGTTTGCTGACCCAAATGAAGTAGATGATTTAAATTATAAATGTGTTCCTGTCTTTGTTTTTCTACTTGCGGTAATTCTATGTTATTTCTTGTTTTCATATTAATAGTCCGGTCAAATAATCTTGTCCCATCAAAAAGGTCTAAAGCATATGGTACAGAACTTACATGTTTATATGTTATAAATCCATAAGTTCTGTGTTTCCCATCACGATCTTTAGGAATAGCAACCCTTTGTACTGGACCACCCTATGGCAATGAACAAATTATAGATTTATGTTAGGTATACAGATATTACGTAAATAACCCTATACTATATCTTTCCCGGTATTCTTGTTATTTATACGAATAAAACAAGAATCAACCTGTAAAAATAATTCGTAAAGAATATTCTCTGTAACTTTGTCACTTAAATTTCCACACCACAATGTACGTATATCGTCATCCATTTTGCTATATTTTCATCGTTTCATTCGCTTAATCATTGAGACTTTATTCTGTATATTTAGAGAAGCTTCCTAAAATCCGTGGTAAATGTTTATTCTTGAAAATGTTATTGCACGTTCCGTAACATAATTAATTTTAACAAGGAAAAATAGAAAATTAATATAATTTTTCGTTAAATCACAATATTCCACAAAAAAAATTATTATTTACAAATAATATTTATACTTATAGAATTTTCTATAGATGGTACATACATAAAACGATTGTATGCATATCGATACATTATAACGCTCGCGATTGGACAGCTAAACTCAGTACAACCAATCAAGAGTCTCGTTATCAATCCAATCGCTAACTCTGATTGATTGTATAACGCAGTCAGTATGTAAAGGTATATACAACATAATTTAATTTCTTTTTTAAATATACAAATATTTACACGGATTTATTATTTTTTAGCTTTTACGAAATAAGACAACAAATGATAAAAAGAAATTTTAGAAATTCTCTTCAAAAGAAAGAAAGAGAGATATGTTTACTCGTCGCTCATTGGTTGATAGAAAGTTGTAATTGATCGTATCGTTCAATCACACACGACGTCATCGTTCGCATGATAGTGGCAGTAGTGTTTTCCACCATCTTTAACTTTCTTGTTTGAGTAGCTGAAGAAGACTGCTGGACTTTCATTTCGTGCCGCAAAGAAGATAAATTTGCTTCATTTCGAATCAATGAAGGTGAAATAAATTGATCAGACGATCAAATCCAAAAAATTGGATTGCAATATAGATCAATCTTCGATTTGTTGGTCTTTTTAAAGGTAATATATTTTATTTAATCGTTATACCTGCGACAATGCAAATGCGTATTTCCATATTGGCGTCTATGCGATAAAAATGAATATTATCATAAAATTTAAATTGCGCTTATTTTTACATGCGATGTAACATTTTTCTTTTCATTCAGTAATCTACAAATATATGACGTTCGATTTTAATATTATTAAATGAAGCTGTCGAATGTAAGAAACATTATCATTACATCAATTCGAAGCATTTTATAGCTATTATGAATTTGAATAATCGAATAATGCTGTACAATTAATATAAATATAATTGATAAATTTAAATTTGGTAGTTCTTTTGTTTCGTTGTCTAATTAGGATTGCGTTTTAATTATACGTAATATACTGTGAATGATTGCTTTTTATTTAATAATCGATATAGTATTGAGTATTTCTATAAAAATAATGTGGATATAATAAAACAACCAAAATGTTTTATTTAATATGGATATAGTTCCAAGTATTGCTTTTTATTTAATGTGGATGTAGTGTTGAGTATTGCCTATATAATATTGAGTATTGTAATGCAAATAATATGGATATAGTCCCAAGTGTATTGCATATTATTTCATGTGGATGTAGTTCTAAATATTGCTTTTTGTTTAATGTGGATATGGTATTGAATATTGTAGTACAAATAATATGGATATAGTCCTAAGTATCGCATATTATTTCATGTGGATATAATTCTAAGTGTTGCTTTTTTTTTTTAATGTGGATATGGTATTGAGTATTGTAATACAAATAATATGGATATAGTCCTAAGTATCGCATATTATTTCATGTGGATGAATAATGTTTCTAAGTATTGCTTTTTATTTAATGTGGTGGATATAGTATTTAGATATTGCCTATATAATGTTAAATATTGTAATACAAATAATATGGATGTAGTTCTAAGTATTGCCGAGATAATAATATAATACGAAAGATTCAGTTTTATTTAATATGAGTATTGTATTAAGTATTGCAGAAGAAAATAATATGGATTCTGTACTGAGTACTATTAGGTTAGAAAGAATGATACTGAATATTGCGATTCAAGTAATATATTTTAGACAGTCTTGGCATTGTTTTTTATTAATCAGTTATATAGACTCATGATCATTAATATAATTGAATAAAGATTTAGTTGAGAGTATTACCTGATCGATATTAGTATAATATTTAGAATTGATAGTTAATTATTATGAAAATAAAACTGAATTCTATTCATTGGTTAATTAAATCTTGGATTTATCTTTACTACAGATAAAATTTTTATATGAGATTAATGACAAAACTTTAGTAATAGATTTAACAGTGATAAGCCTATGTTACATATATTTTTTTTATAGAAGATGAAGAGGAGTAGTTCTAGTCTTGGAAGTAATGATGAGAGGCGAAAAGAATTGCGCAAAGATGATCATAACAGTCAACCACATTCAAGATTGGAGGAAGGAAGACAGAGACGAAGACAACAATGGTTAATTCAGCAAGAACTAGAAAGAGAACATGAAAGATTAAAACAAAAAATGATATTAGAATATGAATTAAAACGAGTTCGTGAACAAGGCGCAAGTCACAGCAGAGGAAGATTAACGGATGAAAGTAATAGTAAAAGTAGAACTAGAGATAGATCTTTAGAAAATGTATGTATAAAAAATGCTACAGCTACAAGTTCTAAATCACCAGCTATACCAGGGAAGTAAGTAAAGTTATTACATATATGAATACAACTCGATTTAAACAATATTTATATTCCGAGAGGGTTCAATTAATACTCGATTTAGTTTAAATAGATACATACGAATTTTGAATATTTAGATCAAATACTTCATGTGGTACAACATCCCTATTCAAAGGTCCAGAAGGAATTCAAATAAGCGAAAAAGAACTTCATTGTATAAAAGTAGATATTCATAGAAATATACCTGTGAAAGGACAAATAAGTGAATTGCAACGGGACATTATTAATCCTGAGGATGTAATCATAATAAGAAGAAGCGGTAAACTATTATATTACTTTATGTTTATTCAGAGACCAAATATCAATGAAAAGAGAAATAGTATAGGATGTTTGACTGCAATGAAAATATATTAAAATATATAGAAACACATATGCTGTTCTACTGTTTTATAGATACAATAATAGACCTTTTAAGGCATAATATAAATAATGAGTATATTTTCAATCGTGAATATACTTGTATTTCTGTTCTTTCTTATTTAAAATCTGCATTATATTCGTTATTAACATATAAATGGTCCTTCACAAGTTTTGTCTTTAAAAAAAAAAAAAAAAAAAAAAAAAAAGAAAGAATTTTTCTAGATATTTTAGGGTAATATTTATTATTCTTTCCGCGTGCGTCACTTGAAGATACTTATTATAGTAATATTCCACTATGAAGATAGCAGAAGATAAGACATCGTCTATTATAATCACAATTTTTACTTATATATAAATTTTCATATTTAATAATTAATTTCTGTTTATCCATTCAGGATATAGTTCACTTCAAATGCAACGCTGGATTATGAATTATTCATACAGTTAAGTGTAAGCACGACTTTATAGATATTACAATTGCTAATATTGATTTGCTTAATATTTCCTTTGCTTTCTACTCTTCTTCTTCTTTTATTATTGAGCAATATATTGCATATAATTGAGATTATTCTTTTTTTTTTTTCATACATTTTAAATTCATAAGTATTCATAAATATATACTTTTTTAATACATGATGATCAAAGGATTATGATTGCAAATATTATAACATTCAAGTTAAGGATATATCCTTGTAATATGTGTGTGTATATATATATATATATTTGTAAAGAGAAATATTCTATATTTATACGTTTTTATTGCATATCTTTTATTTATATAGATTTTATTACATATTTGAATTGATAACTTTCTTGCATGATTAATAATTCTTTATGAAATACTAATATGGTCCATCAGTTGAAAAATCATTTGTGGCATGACAATATTTTTTTAAAAGGATATTAAAAATATTGAGAATTCTTCAAAATCAAGCCTTTATTCAACTTGAAGATTATTTATTTAAAAAAATTTATGTGTTATTATAACTACATCATGTATATAATTTGCTTCGTAAAATTAAAAAAAAAATATTGATTACTAAAGTTCTGTCGTACAGTGAACAGTGCTATCTTTGTGGAAATATCTTGTGTACTAAACTGTCTATGTTTTAGTGTATATAGACAAAGATAGAAATATTTCTGTATGATAGTGTGGTTGTAATTACATTTATTTGTGATAGTGAATTAATTTAATTAGAATTACATTGTCATAAGCTGAGAAATGTTATAGAAAATGAACGTCTCGGAAGATATGTAAAACAGTGATATTAACAGTGCAGTGAATTTCATTAATTAAATTATTTTTTCATTGCTATATTGTTAATTTATTCATATCTGTGTTTTTAGTAGTGTCCAAGTGCTATTTTTACTAATTGGAAATATTTCATCAGGAAGACCAACCCAGTGAAGATATTGAGGAGTTTTATTTCAGCAATCAAAATTTTTGATCTTAATCAATATATGAAATTAAAGTTGATAAATATATTAAATTAAAATTGATTGATATAATATATAACACATAGAAGATTAATATAAAAAATAGGGTAAAGTGAATGAAAGAATCTTAGAAAGTTTCATATGTAGCATTTAACTTAATTATTTTTATTGAGCTTTGATACAGAATATTTCATAATATTTTTATAAAGAAACTATAAATGGTATAAGAACATGTAACAGATATGGTAAATGTTTAATATTTATATAAAATATTAATAATGCATAAAAATTTAAATGACACGATTTACAATTATTTAAAAGCACTCAGATTATCACAATAACAGAGTTAGTGCAAAAAATGCAGAATGCTTATGTTATTTGCTATTGCTTTCTCGCTTTATATATTAAATATTTTATAGTTGTACACATGTATAATTAATTCTTTCATTTTATGTGTGTCGAGTAGGAGAAGGATCGAAGCCTATATTTGAGCGAGAAGAAATAGAGAGTACTTCCAAGAAAGTTGAAGAAATTAAAGAACGTCGTACGGTGACAGCTGTAGAAAGTGGAGATTCAGGTGGTTTATATAATTAGTAAATATGAAAATTATATGTATTTCCAGGATTGAGTTTTTTTTACTCTTCAACATTTGATATCAGTTAACAGGTCAAAATCCTTTAGAAGACGCTCTCCATCCTCTAATTCATTACGACACCGTAGTCAACGTTCTTCATCTTATCGATCCAAGTATGTAGTTGGGTTAATAGAAAGGATTTATATGGATATGTATATGTGTGTATATATATATATATATATATACATATATATATATATATATATATTAGTATATAACATAATTACTATATATATATTAGTATATAACATATTTACTAATACATATATATTAATACGTATTAATACATAATACATTAATATGGATATAACAAAAATAATAATTAATTTTGGAATAAATGGAATAAGAAGTGGATTCTATACAAAGTATTGTAAAGTTCGTTAATTAGATAGTATTGCTCAAGATCATGTCGAGTATTGCAATATATGGACATATATTTTTGTGTCCTTCAATCAAATGTTACAGGTATATACAGGGTATTTTTGAAAAAGAATCTTAAGAGATCGCCATAGAAAATTTTATAAAATGATCCTATATATAAAGGATTAAACATATTACTGGACATTCTTTTCTTAAAAAAATAGAAGAAGGTTACAGTGTAATATCAATATTCTTTGCACTCATACTTATTTTATTTTATTTTATTATGCTTGTTCAATTTTCATTTTTCATTTTTCATTTTTCATGAATGCTACCTTTCATTTATAAGGATTAATAATTTAGCTATCCTTTCAAACACATTCCCAGAGTACAGTATATATTTAGCCTTTAGCTTTAATTAATATTATAATCGATATACACCATATATATTTCTCTTAAATAGAAATGTGATTACACGTTTTACAAATGTCTTTATACATAATATACACTTATGGATGCAAGATGTAAAAAAAGTAATGTACAGTGATGTCTACATTCTCAATGTAAGAAAACATTGAGGCATGTATTTCTGTTTTGTAGAATAATTATCATATTTATTGCAGATAATTATAGATTTACTTTAAAATTCAAAATCCATTTGAATTTTACTTTATGCATGTTTGCTTTTTGTTACTATAATTTGTTTTGTTCTAGCTTTACTAATGCTTCACAAGGATTGGCAGAAGAGACACGAACAACGATATGGATGAAACTCTATTGTGTAGTGTATTAGTTTACACATGCTTCTTTTCATTAATCATGCTATTTATTCTTGTTCATACAATTTTTTTCTTGCGACATACTTATAGTACAAGGGCTTTTGTTAGGGCTTTTATTGTAACCTTCTGATCATCACATTGCTTATCACAGTACTTATTAAATATCTCTGCTTATTCGATAGACATTTGTCTCATTGTTGACATATGTACTTTGATATAATTCAATATACATAATTATTTTAGAGTTATGTTACGAGGTGAGTCGTATACACTGTAAATATATTACATTATTTTTTCATTATATATACAAATAATTATTTTTTATTCTATTTTCTTTTATGAAATATGTTATTTTTCTTCTTATTTAAATAAGGTATATTAAATATGTCCAAATAGATCCATACTTTGAGAATATATATATATATGCATGATCTGTTATTATCCTGGCATATAGATGTTTTGTATAATAAATTCAAGTGTGAATTGTTTAATACTTTTACAGATATAGGCAATATTTATTGTAAAGATTTTATTTAATCCATAACACTAAAAGAAGATTACATTTAACTGATATATTTAATTTTACACTGAAATTCTAGTCGTAATAATAATCATTAACAATAAGAACGATGTGGATATAAAAATAAAATATGGATTTTTTAAATAGAGTATTGCTATAATTTATAGATTACATTCGTGTGATGTACCGAGGAGTCTTTAGTGACATTTTTCTTATATATTAATAAAAAATTATAAAATTATACGTTTTGAACAAATTATCATTTATTGAAGAAAATATTAAGATCGGTACATGACACATATGTTGGAAATATATTTCTATTCGATTATTTATTGGAATGTTTTATTATAGATCCAAAGATTCAAAAGATTCAAGTTATAAATTTGATCGTTATACTAGCAGAACAAGTGATGGGTAATTTATCTATTTTATCTTAAAATACATGTCTTGACGATTGGTTACAAGAGCTTAATATTAAAATATTTAAAAATATTATATGTTTTGCAGAGGTCAAAGAAGAGAAAGAAGAAGAGAAAGAAGTAGAGAAAGAAGTAAAGAAAGAAGAAACAAATACAAGGGAGACGATCGTTCAAGCGGCAGATACAGATCATCTCGAAATAGAGAGAGCCCATTTCAAGAATATAGAGATCATCGACGTGATTCTTATTCCAAGCAAGATTTTCGTCATAGGTGAGCATAATGAAAGAAAGAAAATAGAAGAGCATAGTATTGTTTTTTTATGTCGATATAATCAAGTTTATACATTTACTATAATTAAAATAGAAATGAATCGCGTAAGGAAGAGGGAAGCAATAGCAGCAATAAATCCAGAAATCGTCCAGTAGGTAACAGAGAAAGGGAAAGAAGGTCTAGATCTCGTTCTAGTAGATCTCGTTCTAGATCTCATTCTAGATCCAGAGATAATAGGTACAGGGAGCGACAAATGGTACCATGCCATCCATTCAACCAGGTGCCTTATCCTGTTTATTATGGGGTACATATTATGATACATTGATTATTCTCCTAATTATTGTAATTAATAAACAAAAAACGATATAATCAATATGTAAACTTTTTTCAGCCACGACCTATGATGGTAGAACCAATAATGTCGATTAGGGGCCGAATTCCTATGGCTACAGGCAGATTACCTCATCCGCTAATAAGACAAATAAGACCATTTCCACCTCGTATTATACCACCCAACGTATATAGATTAGGTCCCCCACCTAATTACAGTAAGTTCTTCTCTAGGATAAGCTGTATGATAACAACAGTATTCAAAAGAAAACTTTTCTTCTCAGGATTTGGACCAATGTTTTAATGTGAAAAATTACAAGAGGAACGATATTTTAACCTTTACTTTTATACAATACATATATTTTATCTTACGTTTATTATTTATATGTGCCTTAGCAGTACATTTTTAATGTTAATTTTAAACAATTCTCTTTTAAATTTTTATTATTTTGTTTAAATGCGATAATCTAGAGAGTTAGATTTTTATCATCTTTTTGTGGATAAAATAAGTGTATCGTGATATATAAATGTGTTTATTTAAAAACAATAAATGACGATCGATAATTTGATTAAATTTAAGAAGTGTTACATCGATTGATGTTAGAAGGATTCATGGTAAATGATATGTATTTACCACGATATTTAAAATGCAAAGAACTAATTCAAAATAAAGCGCCTCTTAAGGGAACCAATGAGATACCAGTATTATTTTTTTATGTTTGCACTAGTCAATCACGGCTCGACTTTCGCTTTCTACTGTTACAGCCAATGGCTAGACTTTATTTCCCACAGTTACAGCCAATTATGGCTCGACTTGGATTGCTGCTTTAACAGCCAATCAGCGAACAATTTTCTGGCGCCAAATACTTGGAGACAATGGCGTCATTGCTTCTGAACTCTCGTCGTACTTTCTTTTAATTAAGCGTTACAACAAATATTAGGTAAGCTTATGTATCATTATTCGTATAATAAACATTTGAATATGTACATTTTGTAAAATTTAAGCGATTAATATCATAAATTGTTTTTATTCCTTTCTATTTATGTATTATAACGGTTTTGGCGGTTGCTAGGTAACGAAAAGGACGAAAAGTTGAGAAACGGTAATGCGCAAGAGAGTATACGCATATATAGATACATATATAGTCGAATCAAATCGAATAAATATACGCAGCGGCTCTCGGTATCCAAGAATATCTTACCGGCATGCTGGTTTCGTTGGCTCGAGAGCAATCAAGAGAGAGAGAGAGAGAGAGAGAGAGAGAGTGTGTGTGAGTGAGTGAGTGAGTGAGTGAGTGAGTGAGAGAGAGGATAGGAGAGAGAATAAGAAAAGGAGCGGCAGTAGGGCGAACGAAGGCTCGAGCGACCGATCGACCGTAGCGTGTGCTCCCTCCAGTTCCTCTCTCTCTCTCTCTCTCACTCTCTCAACACACGTAGGTACACACACTCCCGACGGAGTAGAGACGACAACGAATCGTCGAAGCAAGTGGCACGAGTTAGTTTCTCAGCATCGTTGAAACGATTAAGGTAGCAGCATTCTCTTCGTACGAGCGAAAGAGAGAGAGGGAAAGAGAGAGAGAGAGAGAGAGAGAGAGAGAGAGAGAGAGAGAGAGAGAGAGAGAGACCTTAGTTTGGTTTCATCTTTCGAAAGGCAAAGCGAACGTAGTCTCTCGTACCTTTCTCTTTGCGAAAGGAAACAGACGCTGATCGAGCAAGCGTCGCGTAGTATATACGTTCATATATATATATATATATATATGTTATTAAATGGAGGAGGGAGGGAAAAACGAATTGGTCTCTTAGTGTGATATATATATATACGTTCGAAATTTCAATAGGATATAAAAGATTATGTATTATATAATTTGATAGCGGTGAAAAAAACGTTATTGTCTTGCGCGCGCCTTAAACGCTTCGAAAAGTGTTCTCGCAAACGAACGAACGAACCGTGTGCCGAGAACGAGTGCGAGTGATAGTGCGCGCGTGCGCCCAACCGCGCGCAGGTACGCACGCGGAGGTGCACAATATTACTACTACTATACTCCCCTTTCACCTCTCAACCCTCTCTCTCTCTTTCTCTCTCTCGTCAACCTCTTCTGATCCTCTTGCCCTTAGCCTTGATCGAGAAACTCTGAGGACGAGGCGACGCGACGCCAGCCGACGCGCCGCGACGCCGACCACGACGACGACGACGACGACGACGTCGTTCACTACGAGAAGTAACACAAAGCTGCTGTCGAAAACGTGGGGTTCGCTTTACGATAATGGACGAGGAAGAAATCGACGGTGTCAAATCGCCCATCAAAAGACTTGGATCAACTAGGAAATTACTCGTTTTTAACAGTAAGTTTTTCTTATGTCTTTTTTTTTTATTTTTCTTACGTTTTTATTCTCTATTTTTATTTTAACAAGCGTGAGATTCGTTCGCCTTTCTTTTTTTTTTTTTTTTGTTTTTTTAAGGGGGGAAAATAAGAAGAAACAAATCAACGGCGTCCTTTTCTCTATTGGCGGTATACACAATCTTCTTATATACTCTTGTCGTACCTTCCATCCTTATTCTTTTATTCTTTGTCCTTCTCGTCCTTACCATCTTTTAATCTTTTTTTTTCTTTCTTTCTTTCTTTCTTTTCTTTTTCATTTCTCTTTTGCATTCTCCCCTTCCGCCATTTTTTTTTCTTTCGTAATTATTATTCCTCTCGACGTACGTCGGTTGTCTGTATATTCACCTCGAACGAAAAGAAACACGAGGCATTTTTGTTGGTTTGTCTTCACATCGACGAAGATACATATTTTATCGTTTATTTCGAAACATGAATTCGTTTACTTGAACCGCGCGAAACATTGCGTGCGCACTCTTCCACGCGCACGATGCACATCTCACATACACGCACGCATACATACGCGTATGTATTTTAGAGGCTTACGAAAGATAGACGGTCACAGAGAGAGAGAGAGAGAGAGAAAGAGAGAAAGACCTTGGAAAATGTTCCCTGGAATGTAACCTCACGGTAATATCGTTATTTAGAAATAACAATTTCTCACGATTATTAAGTTACATCAATATATTAATTAATGTTAATAGGTCCTAAAAATCATAACCAAATTTCTGCGTTGTATATTAGAGCTAGGCGTGCGTGCGTGCGTGCGTGCGTGCGTGCGCGTGTGTGTGTGTGTGTGTGTGTCAATATAATGCGTTTTATTTTAGAACGATTGTTAGAAAATCTATATTTTCTATTTCGTCGTATACAAACACGCACACGTCATAAGAAAATTTATGTAGCATTTGTGTATCTGTCCACCACGTGCGTGTGGTATGTGTGTGTATGGAATTTTCTTATCGAAAGAATCGTAAGAAAATTTTGATATCTTTTACTCGACACACATATATATATACATTAATAATGATAATAACAACAACAACAACAATAATAATAATAATAATATTAATAATAATAATAACTTTCGAACTGACACTCGAATCTTTTTTTCAATATCAAATTGGCAAAGAAAAAGAACGTGGGCTGGCTTGTGGTTATCTCAGTAATAGTAATGTAAGTAGTAATATACTAGTCAATGGTGAGAGAGGAGGCAATCGACAGTTATAACCGTTCTCGAGGAATGTCGGTGGTGCATACGAGAAACGAAGGCTGCTGCTGCTGCTGCTGCTGCTGTTACTGCTGTTGCAGCAGCAGCAGCAGGATAGAGCCCTGCCAACCTAACCGCCTCGCCTTCTTTTCAACTTCGATATATGTACATATATATACACCTCTCTCTTTCTTTCTTACCTATATACTTGTCATATATTTATCTTTATTCCCGGAAGCAAAAAATACATTTCCGGTTTCTATCGTTTCTAAAACAGCGATTCTCGATCTTTTGTGTTTTACGTACCCCTATGGAAAAGTGTATACCCTAAGGGTTACGTGTACATATCACGTTGAGAATTCTCCTAGTCTAACAGATCTACTAAAAGGATTATTATTATTATTATTATTATTATTATTATTATTATTATTATTATTATTATTATTATTATTATTATTATTATTATTATTATTATTATTATTATATTTTATATTATTATTAATATCATTTGTGCAACATATTATTTTTTCTGTTCTCTTTTCTTCTTTTTTTATATCGTCTTTTCTCGAAGCTACCTTTACTCTTTCACGCTTGAATGAAATTAGTCGATAAAACGATTAAAAGCTCTCTCTCTCTCTTTCTATCTCTCTCTCTCTCTCTCTCTCTTTCTTTCTAAGCTTCTTTTATTCTCTTTTGCTATTTATTCGCACACAAGAGAGAAACGATTATCTCGGAAAATAACTCGTCGTCGGCTTGTGCGTTTTACCTTTTCTTAGGAGCAGCTTGCTTCTCTCTCACGTGAAAGAAAAAGAGAGAAAGAGATAGATTGAGAGAGAGAGAGAGAGAGAGAGAGAGAGAGAGAGAGAGAGAGAGAGAGAGAGAGAGAGAAAGAGAGGGAGAGGGAGAGTATGCGTGAGAATACACGTGCGTGTGTGCATGCGTGCGCGTCTCTCCCTGTCCAATATCGATCTTTCTCTCTCTAACGGCTAGTTCTCGCAAGTACGCGGTTATGCACCTCGCACAAACAGGTAGTACCGTCGCCAGAATCAACGGTACCCTCTGCCAAATTGTTTTTCTTTTTCTTCTTTTTTTCTTTTTAGTATTCATTCTATCAAAAATGTTAAAATGTTTTCTTTTCATGCATAAATATATGTATGTATGTATATATGCATTGCACACACGACGAGAGTTTTGAAAAGGGGAGAGAAAATAAAAGATGCTTCCTGTCCCTCTCAGAAAAGATATTTTTACACATACAGGATAAGCACTTCTCGAAAAAAGAAACGACGGAAATTCTCTCTCTATGTTTTTTTCTTCTCTTCTAACATACACGATTCCTTACTCCGGAGAATTCAAAAAGACTACTATCGACCATCTTTTTTGGCATGCTTCTTTGCTTTCCCGACCATCGCAATATTTTTCCTCGCTCCGCATTTTCTCAAAGTTCGTCGACCTTCGTTAAATTTCATCGACTTTTATCAAATTTTAATGGATTTTAATGGATGGAAAAGAATTTCGATCATAAATCTTAATCTCTGTCATTTTTAATACTCGTCTCCAACAAAAGCAATAACAATTAGTCATTGGTTCAACAAAATTCAACATATGCTCTCGATGTATTAAATACATGAAGTGTAACAAGAGATAAAGAAGTAGTCGTCGTAACATCGGCTATGCCGGCGAATGAACGCCACGCCCTCGATGAGAAGAAAAAGATGGAAAATCTTATTACGTTTGCGTCTAGAGAAGAGAAGAGGATTTCTCATCCGATCATTATACCGTTATCCATATGAAAACGATCTCTCAGAGTACTGGGTAATAATGATATTCATTAGATAATCGTTTTCAAGTTTATTATCATTATATATCATTGTTTACTGTTATTCAACTTACAACATTTTTATTCCTAACTTTTAATTAAATCTAATTGTTTTTTAGAGAGAGAAAGAGCCAGAGACAGACAGAGAGATTCACGTGATAACGAGAAAATGACATTTATTATTATGATTTTTAATTTTTTTTTCTCTCCTCTCTTTTTCCAACTTTAACAGAGAAATATTAATAATAATATATAATAATCTTTCTTCAGTATATTATAAAAGCATCGATAGTGGTTTTACTCATCGGAATTAGGTACATAGTAAATGGTGAAAAATACGATACCAATGAAACGTAAAATATCTTATAGGGTAGGAAGAAAGAAAGGCTCGAAGGATATATATACATATATACGTAACCCCAATACCGGGTGGTCGGTGAATAAAGGGAAGAAAGAAGAAGAAGAAGCAGAACACGGTATATAAAGCACACGTTGCTTCCGTTTCTGGTACACGCGATTTCTTCAATGTGGGTGTATATACATAAAATGAAAAAATCAAAAAAGAGTTCCTCCGGAAATCCCACGTCGGAAATAACTGCTGGCTTCTACCACTATGTTTCTGGCTAACGTTCTTTCTAACGAAACTCTCATCCTGATTAAGCTTCCCAAACGGATCAATGGATTTCATTTACATGTAATATCTTTATATCAAACGTATGCCGACACAAATTTTATCAAAAGTTTATGAGAAAGAGAGAGGAGAGAGAGAGAGAGAGAGAGAGATAGGGATAACATTAATGAGATGATTAACTTTTATCAGTTACTTCAAAAATATTGTAATATATTTGGCAAACCAACTTTGAAGAAATTAAGTAAATTTTAACGTGCCATATAGCATTTATTATAACAAATATGCTTGTATAAATATTTTTTTTATTTTTATTTTACTGGCAATACTTAATACATAATTTTAGTTTTGTATTTGTTATACATAATTCTATGAATTTTAACATGTCACATTATTTTTATATAAAATTGTTTATTATAATAAAATTGTTTATATAAATGTTATCAATATTAAAATGCAATATTGAAAATAAAATAAAAATTCGGTTGGCAGTATTACTGTATAATATTGGAGTGTGATGAGAGTTAATTCATACGTTATGGAATTATTGATAGAGAGATAGGAAGTTATAGTTTATCAAGAAGATTACATACGATGAATTTGATCGATCAATGAAAATCGCTATTAAATCCTATATTATGTTATCATTATGAGAAAGAGGGAAAGACAGAAATATCGATTAATAAAGTTATTATTAATAATATAAATATTACAAGACTGTAATTTTCGTTCGTACATCATTGATAGAGACAGAGAGAGACGGAGACAGAGAGAGAGAGAGAGAGAGAAAAATAGAGATAACATTAATGAAACAATAACACAAAGTGGGGGTTTATCAAATGTATCACTCTTAAGAGATAGAGATAGATAGAGATGATATTTTTGGTGAAATTAATAAAACAAGCCTAAAATTAATATATATATATATATATATATGATTGTTGAGAAGAACAGAAATAACACTAATGAAGAAATAGCAACACAAAACTAAATACAAAGTGGATGTTTACTAAATGTATCAGGCGAGAGAGAGAGAGAGAGAGAGAGAGAGAGAGAGAGAGAGAGAGAGAGAGAGAGAGAGAGAGAGACAGGTTGACTTGCACACTAGTCGGTCAGAGTCACAGTCATGGTCACGCTTCGAGGGTTGAACACTCTGCATATATAGAACACAGTACGGTGGGAGAAGAGTTCACCGGCGCGTAGAGAGGACAACCAGCAGAGAGTGCTTCGAGTACGAGTTGTGCGTCCATTGATTCCCCTACTCTCTTTCATACCTCCATCTCTCTTTCTCTTTCTCTCCCTCACTCACTCTTCATCTCTCTAGTGAATTATTTTTCTCTGTACGCGGGCGACACGCTCGCTAACTCTACTCGTGTCAGTCAGTGTAACACCATCTCTTCGAACTGCTGCACGTCTCCTAAGAGAAGTCTACTCTTCAGCATCTTTCTTGGTTCCAGAAAAAATATACTGGATATACACAAATTCCTCCAATCGATCCAATCTGTGTATGTACATATATACACATACACACGCAAACACACACATGTAAATATATCTGGATATATAAGAAGATAAGAGTATGTAAGTGGTGAAAGTCAAGTTTATCAAGATAATTGATCAGTTTCGAATTGAGAAGGAATACAAGGGATATCCAATATGGTTCAAATTTCATATAAATATCTATATACTTATATATATACACCAGAAGAGAAATAAATATAACAATGCTGGAATCAGGTTTATCAAGAAACTAATAATTATATATTATCGAAGTATTTCGAATTAAGAAGGAATATACGCAGAAGAAAGAGAAGAATCATCCAACATGGTTGAAGTTTGAACGAGAAAGAGAGAGAAAGAATCCTTTCATATCCAAGAGGAAGCTGTACGAGAGAGGGTGTTCTCTCTGGAGAGTATAGGAACCGGTGCGCAGAGAGTAGTACTGCCATTTGGAGGGGAGAAAGAAACCTACGAGAGAGTCGACAGGGAGTCGACAGAGAAAGAGACAGAGAGAGAGAGAGAAAGAGAGAGAGAGAGAGAGAGAGAGAGAGAGAGAGAGAAAGAGAGAGAAAGAGAGAGAGAGAGAGAGAGAGATAAAGAGGGACCTAACGGTGGAGGGGCATCAGAGAGAAAGAGAGAAAGAGAAAGAGAAGCCGGTTGCCTGGCGACGAGCCATCTAGTTCGATCCCAGCAGCCCGTCCAACCACCCTCTCTCCTCTCTTCTCCGCCTCCGCCTTCGCTTCTGCCTCTGCCTCTGCCTCTCTCTCTGCCTCCAATTTTGATTCCAACTCTGACTCTCTTGCTGTTCCCAGGATCCCAAGGAGTATCGGCAATCTCGTCTCGTCGTTGCTTTATTATTATTATTATCAACGATATTATCACAATATTATTATTATTATTATTATTATTATTATTATTATTATTATTATTATTATTATTATCATTATTATCATTATTATTATTACAATTACTTTATTATCCTATTCGCCAGTTGAACTCCCTCGAAGATTAGTGTTTTGAAAAATATATCGGTATATGTTTTTATATACCGTGTCTGTGTCATCACACATTACATCACATAGTTATATCTCTATCATATAAGGATCAAGAAGGATTTTCTTCTTCTTGATCGTCATGGATCTACGATGGAGGATATTATCTCAAGAGGAAGCTTAAAAGAAGACGACGATACCACCACCTTGTCAAGGATCATCTCCTATATGTTTAATATGAACATTATATGTTAGAAGAAGATATAATTATATTTTAAACATTACCACGATTATTATATCGTTAACAACGATGTCGAATTGTCAAGCATCTTTCGAAGATCATCGTTTTCGTTTTATCGTACAACGAGCAAGATTCGACAACAAAATGTGAAAGTTACGTGTGCTTCTTCTAATTATTGATAGCTTTCCGAGCTATCAATCTTCTTTCTCTTCTTTTTCTTCTTCTTCTTCTTCTTTTTCATTCTCATTCTCTCTCTTTCTTTCTTTATATGTGAGATAATTATTCGGGATCAAGAAGATCTAATGGTGGTGAAGTGCAAGTATTCCTAACGATAATTCAACAAACGCAAAGGAACCTAAAACGTTTATCGCTCTCTATCTCACTCTAATATCTATATCTCCCTCTCTTTCTCTTCAATATACCATCAACCAACATGTTCCAGTGCATCATACAACAAAGAAACGGATGGATTCATCCTTACAGTCCAGACACCAAGGATGTTTTCCCAGGTATATTATATATATACTATGTGAAGGAAAAAAAAATATATATATATGTATGTATATGTATATATTTATATATTTGCATTTAATGTTAAGTTTCTTTTTAATCTTGAAATCTCTTTTAGATCTTTCCTTTGATATCTGAAATCTTAAGGAAGAAAATAACAGGGCGGTGTACAAAAGTTGTTAGATGATTTTAAAAAGATCAATTACTTTTTGCTTTTTTTTTTTTTTTTTTTTATACTTTTTAAACTATTTCTTTTTTCAGATTGTAAAATTACAAGCCTAGCTTGTACAATAACAAGGCCAATTAAGAATCTGAAAAGTCTTGAAAAAAGAGTAATTAATTTTTGAAGTCACTTAAAGACTTTTGGCCACACCTAAGAATTTTTGCACACCGTCCTGTATAAGAGAGTTTATTTATATCAAAGAGTACACATTTTTCACGTACAAATTATAAAGTTTGCCAACGAAATTATGAAAGAAATGATTTTGTTCCGTTTTCTTCTCTTCTTTTTTTCTCTCTCTCTCTTTCTCTCTTTTCTATCCGGCTGCTCCGTTTTACCGACCGACAGAAACCTGCTTAGCTCATACACAATGTACGCGAATGTGCAATTCAAACGCACAGGAAGTCTTTCAATTTTGTCCCGAGGTCTTTTTGCGTGGGTGAGGTTAATAACGCGAAATGATAGGCGTTAGCCTCTTGTGTCGAGGTCGAGAGAGGGAGGGAGAGAAAGAGAGAGAGGAAGAATCGAAAGATCGACTTGTGTACGAATGTACCCGCGTTATTACTATCACTCTTTTCGTTTCTACGATTAAATCTAAGACTACTAAAAAGACTACTTTGGCAAAAGCATCACGTATATATGTCTATATACACACGTGGTATATACTATGTATGTACTATTAATAGTTTTCACGAATGTCACGTCTCTCTGACGTAACAATGTTGAAGAATCAACGATCGACCCAATCTAAATTCATTCTTATCGGTCCAATTGGTAGATGAGATGGAATTTATTGCCATTTAAATGTTCATTAAATAATCTATTTTTTTTTCTTTTCTTTTTTCCCATAATGGGCTAATAAAGTTCCTAAAGCTAGGTGAAAAAGAGTAATCGATTTTGAAAATTACCTAACAACTTTCGATTCATCTAGGAACTTTTTTGGTCCACTCTGTGGATTTGAAAATCCATGTGTATAATTGATGTGTATATAACAATACCGAGATTGTGAACATTCGTTTGTATAATCTTTTACATCTCTTTGATATTTTAAGGATTTTTAAGAAGACGAAGGAATTTAATGAAAGAAATCTCACTTGGGAGACTCGAGCCACTTAGAAATCTGATCTAACGCGTTTAACCCTGAAAATGGTATCTCTTTTTCTCGGAGACTTTTTACGTATTTAATATACATAAGGAGATATTCTTAGAGAGAAATGACAATCAGTAAAACAATTATAATTAAAATTCGAACTAAATTCGTAGAAAAATTAGAGTAATATTAGAATCCCAATTGGTAGAAAAATACATGATCGATAGATCTCAGCTTAAGAAAAGATCAGAGACCACAATAATAATAGCGACAATAATAATATTAATAATAATAATAATAATAATAATAATAATAATAATAATAATAATAATAATAATAATAATAATAATAAATCGTATATGAAGATCTCTGTCTCATTCTTGGTCTGACATGATTATCATTATTTGCAAGAGAAGAAAAAGGAAAAAAGAAAAAAGAAAATGTAAGTGATCCATCGGATGACTTGGACGTTAAACGAACGAATACTCGAGATCATGACACAGTTAGTTATTCGAGAGATAACGAAAAATGAGTCGACGTAATATCTACTCGTCGCGCTTCCCTTCGATTCGCGCAGGAAGGAAGTCGATAGAGAAACGGTGTGTCGCATATCAATTGACTGCCGTCAAGGTACGCTTAACATTCACAAAATAGAAAATCCTTATTACTCTGAAATATAAAGATCTGTGGAAAAGGATAAATTGATTTTAAAAAACATCTGATATATTTGAAACTGCCATCATTCTTCTTCTTTATCATAATAAAAGAGAGAAATTTGTTATATATCTGGAAAAGAAAGAGAAGTGCATAACTTCGAGTATTAGAAAAGCTCTCATTAGATAATTTTTACACGTTCCTACAGTTATCGTTAGAAGAAGGATTATTGTTTATTAACACGTAGAAAACTAATTAATTAACGAGCCTATATAACATAAGAGAAAAAAGGAATACATGTAATATCTTACAAGTTAGAAGCTCTCTCAGATAGGGACGGACGTCGATGGAATCGCTATCGGTCTTTCGCATAAGCAGAGGCGGTGTGCGTTGATGATGATGATGATGATGATGATGATGATGATGGTGATGGTGATGGTGATGGTGATGGTGATGGCGATGGCGATGGCGATGGCGATGGCGAATGGTGGTGGTGGTGGTGGTGGTGGTGGTGGTGGTGGCGGCGCGGCTAGCTAGCGTACGACGCGCCAGTAATTGTGGTTAATTTAACGATGGTCAAAGCAAAGCAACGCAACGCAACGCAACGCAACGGAGAGCAAACGCAGCGACGCACAACTCGTAGTGCTCTCTTCGTCAGTTTGTCGAGAACCAGAGCCCCCTCTTGTCGTTATCGAACGTGTTTCTCTCAATCGCGAAGTTTACTATTTCTTTTCATTTTTTTTTTTTTTTTATTTTATTTATTATCATTATTTTATCAGTTTTTAACATTTCTAACAAAATCCAGCTCTAACTTATTTCTCCTCTAAACGCATTACGTAAACTCATTAGAAACAGTGTGTTGTGTTCTTTTAAGTTTGGATCTATATTTATACCGCTTTTTCCCCCCTTTGTTTTGTCTTAAACAATTGTTCTAATCGATTCTAATCTAATCATTGTTCTAAACGTTAGGTATATAATCAGTTCGAAACAGTGTTATTGTGCGCGTCGTTTAGTTTAATTTATTTATACTGTTCTTTTTTTGTTTCTTTTTAAACTTTTTCTAATCGATTCTAATCTAACATTACTCTTTATAATTGGTTCGAAATAGTGTTGCTTAATTTTATAATTTCTCCTTTGTCGTTTTTTGCGTCTACTTCTTTACACGTACTTATTTTTTTCTTTTCTTTTTTTTTTTTTTTTTTTTTCGCCGATCGTTCTAATTAATTCTTATCTCACGTTGATTATATAGATTCTATATCGTTCGCTCATTGACTCTGCATTGACTTTTCCATTCTTGCACACGCACACGATACGACACGACAAGCATGCGTCGCGTATATACACATACATACGTACACAAAGTGAGTCACCGTCGTGTATTTACTTGCAAAAATAGTGATTTAGATTTAATTAGGTGAATTATATATTAAGCGTTGTCTATTCGAAAAGAAAAAAACAAGAAAAGGAAAAGAGATTATTTTTTTGCCAATTTATTGATATAGTTTCATAGCTTTTTTGATGTACGTATGTACATATTGTATATACATAATACAAGTATGACTTCCTTTTCCGGTAAAGCTACTATGTATATCTGCGGTCGTATGCCTGCAATATAGTTAATCGCTAACGTTTACATAATACCGAGTGTCCCGTAAACGCGATCAGGCTTACTTTGAAAAGACGATACGATTAGTGTGTGACACACAGAGAGATCAAAGTTTCTCATATACAAAGAGGATTATATATATATATGTATATACACACACACACATATATATATATATAAAACTTTATTTATTATCGTCGAATGTTTTTTTAACGTGTTTGATAAATAATGATTTCTTTTTTCTTTTTTTTATTTATAAACACCGATAAAAATTGATATCTTCATTGATATGAGTTCATAATATGAGTTTGCCAATATTCTTATTGATTATTATTGGTAAACACACATATGCGAGATAATGTAATTGAAAAAAGAAAAGATATGTCTAGAGATTAGGCAAAGTCTGTGCATATTGGCGAACTATAATTAAAATAAGAGAAAGATAAATTTGTGGAGTGTGCCAATGTTAGTTATAATAAAAGAAGGCTTAGAAAATGTTCAAACTCAGTGGACGACAGGAATGGGAAGTCTGGACGAAAGGTAAATCGTATTTACCTGCAATTTTTTTTTCCTATCTTTATATTTTTCTATTGTTTAGAAATCTGATGATTCGATTTGACGAATTACGACCGTGTTAGATTATTTAGAATGATACAGGATAGGTGAAAAGTTTCTAAGTAATTTTTTTTAAATCCATTATTTTCCTTCATTGAAACTTTCTAGGCTGATATTGTTTTCAGATTGTAAAATTACGAGCCTGGCTTATTAAATTATGAACCTAATTACGAAACTAAAAAGTCTCGTAAAGAATTAATTAATTTTTTAATGTCACCTAAAAACTTTTTGGTTTCTCGTTCCTCCTTTATGTTGTGTATGTAGATGCATGCATATAGACCAGCTTATTGATCGATTTGTCTAAATGGATATATCCAAACAAAAAGTACAAGATTTAGCCTGTTAATAAATTTCAATCTCATTAATCTCCAAACATTCGGATGATAAAAGAAGAAACTGATTATTTTAGGAAGAGGATGGGTTAATGATTAGAAAGTAAAAGTCTTAAGGGGATATAGTGGGAAATCGTCGAAGTAAGAAAAGGATGCAAGATGGGTTAATTGAGTATAAAAGGAGAGCAATCGGGGATGAGGGAATGGTGGGAGGGAGTGGTAGGTGATGGGTTGAAAGCACATTAATGACCATCATCATCACATCACCATGAACCGCTTTTTTTTTCTCTTTCACTCTCATCATTTTCTTTTCTTTTTTCTTTCTTTTCTTCTTGCTTCGATAAAAGATTTAACGTTCGTTGCCACGAGAAAATCGTTCAAAGCTAGAGCCTAGCCGCGGCCTCCTTTCGGATCAACGTGCATCATCGGATGCTGTGCTCCGTGAAACTGGAAACTTCCCTCCCTCCCTCCATTTCTCCTCACACTCCTCCCTCTCTTTCTCTCTTTCTCTCTTTCTCTCTCCTGTATAACAAAGCGAGACTTCCTCAGCCATGAATAATCATCTACGATAGAGGGTTTCGAAGAATCAATGATAATGTGTTGTTTAAATTTATCCTCCTCGGTTAACGACACGTAGAAATCTATGCAATCGATCTTTCCTAAAGATTTTTCTTTTTTTCTGGAAATTTGACAAAAATGTAACAACATTGATCTTTATCGCATAAATGATTGCGGAATTAGAATCTTTTTGTCTCTCTTTCTCTCTCTCTCTCTCTCTCTGTTTGTTTATTTCGTTTTACTCGTTTTATAACAAAATTATTTTCAATTGTATATATAAAGAAGAAGATATTAAAAAATTTTAAAGAAAAAAAAATATATATATATATACAATGAAGTTGTAAAAGAAAAAAAAGATGAAATGATATCGAGTAGGCCAATGTAAAAAAAAGGATATTCATTTACGTGGACCAGGATCTCCTTTTTTTTTCTCTCTCTCCCTCCTTCTCTCTTTCTCTATGTATGTATGAAATATATACAGATCTTTTAAGACATAAAATATAATTATAAATAGAGTATGTTTGAAAGAAGGAATGTATATTGTGTATGCGTGTGTGTTTAGGCTCGTAATGATTCTTTTCACGTGTTACTAATTATCGTTTTCGTTCGAAAGAACGAACTCTTTTTCTTCTTCTTACATACATATGTAAATTTATGTATGCGCGTATATACATGTATTTGTAAAAAGAGCAATTGATTTTTAAATTCACCTAACAACTTATGGCTCATCTAAGAACTTTTAGCCCAGTCTGCATGTATATATATATATATATATATATATATATATGATTAATAAATAAATGATTAATAAAAATAAAATTAAAAGATAATTAAAAACTGAAAACCATTTGAGATCTACGATATTTGTTTGGATCTATACTATAACAGATATGTTAGTATTCTTCTGCCCTTAGAAAATAATCGAGAAAGATGAGCATAAAAACGCAAAGGGGCGGTGTTTTTTTTTTTTTTTTCTTCTTCCAATGTAAGTAGAGAGAGAGTAGCCGCACATCGATCGGCTTATATTTCCGGGCGTGATTCATTCGAAGGGGCACAGACTGTGGCGAGATCTTTGACCTCTGTCCTCCCTCGCCAGGCCAAAAACACGACAGTATAGACAGTATTCGTAGGCGACGACCGGATAGGTGCCGGGGAGACACACGAAATAAGGGTAAATGAATTGTATATGTGTGTGTAACTCGACACGGTACCCCTATCGGGTTGGTTAGTCATCCGCTTATGTTATTTGATTTGAAATGATGAGAGTTTTATATGGATGCAACTTGCAATATATTACACACACAAACACACATTCTGTCATTTATTTATTTATTTATTTATTTATATATACATACATTATATTATTATTTTATTATTGTAATTTTACTTAATTTATAATATTATAATATTATTGTGTAATGTAATTGTAATAATTAATTTAAATTTGATTTTAGACTTAAATTCTATTTTATTAAATTATCATGTGTATATGTGTGTATAAACAACACACTACAAACACATAGACACACGTACATATAGTGTGTTGTTTATCATTTTTCAATCGAGTATAAATTTAGTTTTTTTTTCTTTTTTTTTTTTTTGTTTTTTTTTTTTAATATTAAATATTAAATATTAAAATACTGCAAAATTACTATATGTATTTGCTGCGATGATTTGATAAGCAAGATAAATCATTTATATCTGTCGTTTGTTTTGAAAGGAAAAGAGAAATGGAAAGACAGAGAGATGTTTTAATTGTTTGTGAAAATGTAGGAAAAGGAAAGAATGGAGTTGGTATTTCTAGACTTAGATATTTCTAGGATTAGAATATAAAGGAAGAGAAACGAAGGGTAAAGGGGAGAAAAAGAATAATGAATCTCGGGGTGGTAGGAGGTGTGTAGCCATCTTGGAAAGGACATTTGTTCCTCTTCGTTCATGGCCATTATTATTCTGTCCCGCCTCTCTTCGACTTTTCTCTCTTTCCTGTCCTTCGTTCATTCTCGTCAGTCCTCCCTTCTCTCAGCCAAGCAAGCGTCATTGTCCCAGGCGACGTGTCGCCGATAAAACTCGAACAATGTTTCTCTCTACGTTTTCTAAACCGTCTGGATTTAAAGAGAAATTGTAAATATGTCGAATTCTTTGTTTCGATGGAAATGAATTTTCAGGTCTATCTAAAAGTTTTATACAAATTTTGAATTTACTTATCAATTATTTTTAATTATATAAAACATTGTTATAGAGTCGAAGTAATCGTTGTAAAAAAAAAAAGAACAACTAAATAAAAGAGAGAAGAGAGAATTTTTTAAAATATAAATAAGTCGATATTCGAAATACATTCAACACAGATATAGACACACACACACCGCAACCTGCGGTAGACCGAAACGATTAACGTACTACTATATACTTTTTCCCCTACCTCATATCTTCTTTCTTTTTTTCTTTCTTGCAGATATAAGGCTGCAACTGAACGAACAGTTGAGATGTCTCGACGTAAGGATGGAGGCACAAGTTGCCCTTGTAGCCGAACTGCAAGATTTCTTTCGCAGAAGGGCAGAGTTGGAGTTGGATTACAGCAAGTCTCTTGACAAAATGGCTAGGAGTATACAATTAAGACACAAGGAGCAAAAGCAAAAGTAAGCTTTTGTAGATGAAGCAATAAGTAGATCAATATTTGTCCCCTGAAGAGGACGAAAACATTTTTACTTATTTTAACATAGACTTCACAATGTGTCTTCATACTTTTCTGGTGCTTGCTTTTCTTTTTAGACGTGAACAGTGGCCCCTCTTCTCCAGTTATGCCTGCTGGCAACAGCTTGTAAATGAGACGAAATCTTTAAGTAGAGATCATGCTGCCCTTTCAGAAGTCTACAGCACACATCTTGTCGGTAGGCTTAATCAAGTAATGGAAGATGTTCAAAGGATATACAAACGAGTAAGCATTTATTTATTTATTTATTTATTTATTTAACCAATTAATTGATTCATTCATAATTCACTCATTTATATATATATATATATATATACACGTTATATAAATATTTAAGTGTCGTGAGATTGGCTACGAAACACACGAAGAAATACTCAGAGTTCTTCACGAATTACATACAACGATGAAGACTTATCAGGCTTATCAAGCAGAGTCAAGACAAGCCGAAACTAAGTTACGTGTAGCTGAGCAACAGCGTAGTAAGCTAGAGGTTGCTAATGCGCCACCAGAAAAATTAGCTAGGAGCAAAAAGTACAAGCTCATCGAGAAAGAGGTGAACAAGGTAACTACAAGTTTCAGACCCCACTCTACTTAGTCTACATTTTCAACGAGCTTGAAAATGATTCGAGTGTACTTGAAAACCAATTCCACTCCTAGGAATCTTGTTATCGATGAAAATATTCTTCCATTGTCATGAGTTTTTTAATCTTTATGGGGATCCATCGAAAAACTTTTTTATCTTCGAGATTTTCTTTCCCTCATTATTAAATTATAAATCGTGAATTTGTTATGACATATGGATCATGAATAAAATGTATTATTAAATGCAATGCTTCAAAATGTATTGTTTATTGTTATGAATTTTTAATCTTTATGAGGATCCATCAGAAAAGTTCTTTGTCTTTAAGATCTTTCTCTCCTCACTGAATTATAAATCATGAATTTGTTATGGTATAGAGATCATGAAAGAAAGAGATTAAAAATGTAGAGGTTGAAGAGCAGCCTCACGTTTCTCTCTCTCTCTCTCTCTCTCTCTCTCTCTCTCTCTCGCGCGCGCGCCCTTTCTTTCTTTGTTGATCTGTGTTAGCAGATGCTCGAAGATTTAAAACGAGCGACTTGTGTCTACCGTTTTCTTGCAACAGCCAAGCAAGCTGCTGCTGGTTAGAAAAATAAATGAGAGAATTCTCCCTCTTTTTCTTTCTTAATGTGACTATAGCGATAAGACAGATGGTTCTAACGGTTTGGAAAGAGCAGGATAGAGAAAGGAAGAGAGAAGAAAAACAAGGATTAACAGCATGTGTGCTGACTCTCCCCACCTTTTCTCTATCTCCCTTCTATTCATCTATGTCTATACCATATGTAATTCTATCGTTGTAGAAACGATAGTCTAATCAAAAAAGAAGAAAGAAAGGGGAGAGAGAGAGAGAGAGAAATAGAAATAGAAATTATTCAGCCTATACAAATTGTTATCACATCTTAATACATTTACAAGCTTTTTAAATTTAAGATTTCTAACATTGGTATGATGTTTCAGAGAAAGAACAAGTATCAAGAAGCCAAATTAAAAGCTTTGAAAGCAAGAAACGAATATATATTATGCTTGGAAGCTTCCAACACGACAATTACCAAGTATTTCGTTGATGATCTTTCAGATCTCATAGATGTAAGTTTAATGAATGATGAATTATTAAAAAAAAATTTGTTTATTACATAAGTATGCCATAAATATGTAATTTACATTTTTTATAAAGATAAAAAATATATATACATATAGTGCGTTGATTGATTGAAATCCTTGATACTAAAATTGTGCAATCTTTTGTATAGTGTATGGATTTTGGCTTCCACAATTGCATCGCTAGAGCATTGTTAATGCATTGTAGTGCGGAAGAGGGTAGGCAGCGTTCGTTACAAACTGGTGCAGAGCAATTGGCTGCATGCGTGGGTGCATTGGATTCGAGAGCGGACAAGCAAAGGTTCTTGGAATCTCATCATGCTGCTTTTATGATTCCTAAAAAGTTTGAATTTCAAGGACAACGTGGAGACGAGGTATAAAAATTCTTTTATTATGTCACGATTATTTCCTCTCAACCCCGTCGAAGATTTTCACGTTTTATTCTCAATTTATTACATAGACTCCCGAGCCTGAATTACAAAAGGTGCTACACTTGGAAATGGAACAGCGATTAACTCAATTGCAACAGAGGGTTACGTCTCTTAGAACAGAGTCGGAGGAAGTATGGAAGACTTTAGAAACGGCGGAGGCGAGTCTCCTTGAAATGTTAACCGCCAAAGATTACGACTGCTCGAGATATTTCGGCGAAAATGCTGTACCAACGTCTAGACCACCGGAAACTTTACAGATCAAATTGAGAGCTGATAGACAAGAGACAGAAGAATTTTATCTTACCGTAAGTTTGAGTATATTACTTTCAAATCTTTTTATCCGGGCTTATATAAGATAACAAAGTCTCGTTAGAAAAAGAAGAATCGTTTGTGATCATATTTGATTTGCATGTTGTGGTGTATGCAACGTGTTGTACTTGCAGAAATTCAGAGAGTACCTTCTTGGAACTTCAAGAATAGCCAGATTGGATGCAAAGCAGGAATATATACGTCAAAGTCTATTGGATGGTTCTACGGCCAGTCCAAATCCATCCATTTCTACTACCAAGCAAAAACAAGCACGTAGAAAACGAATCGGACGTTTACAGATGAACGGCCAACCAAAATTATTCGGTGGTTCTTTAGAGGAATATTTAGAAAGCACGAATCAAGAAATACCTTTGATCATGAAGAGTTGTATAAGGGTTATCAACCTTTACGGTTTACATCATCAAGGAATATTTCGAGTATCTGGTTCACAGGTGGAAATCAATAACTTCAGGGAATGGTTCGAAAGAGGTGAAGATCCTTTGGCAGATGTAACAGATGCTTCCGATATTAATAGCGTCGCTGGTGTCTTGAAACTTTATTTGAGGGAATTGAGAGAACCATTGTTCCCTATCATTTATTTCGAGCATCTTATGGAATTGGCACAATTAGAATCGAAGCAAGAATTTGTTAACAAGATGAAGGAATTAATAGCGAGTCTTCCAAGACCAGTGGTGATAGTAATGCGTTATCTTTTTGCTTTCCTCAATCAGTAAGTATGAGAAAATTAAAATGTCTCAGTTTTGTTTGAATCGCATGTATGAGATTTACGAACATTTTGTGTTCTCCAGTCTTTCAGAATTCTCAGATGAAAATATGATGGATCCTTACAACTTGGCCATTTGCTTTGGTCCAACTTTAGTACCTGTCCCAGAGGACAAGGATCAAGTTCAGTATCAAAATCAGGTGAACGAACTGATCAAGAATATTATTACCTTCTGCGAGGAAATATTTCCTGAAGATATAGGTGGTACGCAATATGAGAAATATATCAGCAGAGAACCAGACGACGTGTTAGTATTATGTATATCATGTAAATTTCATATATTATATATTGGACAAAATGTTGCTTTATAGTTTTCTTTTTCTATTTTTTTTTTTTGTTTTTTTTTTGTTTTTTTTTTCTCATTTTTATTATACCAGAGACGTCGGTGATTCGCCAACAGATCAGGTTCAAGAGGACATGGATTCTGAAGTTTATCCATCGGAGGATGGTCGGTATTAAATTAATGTAAAGATCATATATAAGGATCACAATGCAAATTTGATAAGAAAACATTCAAATGCAGAATCAGAAAATTTGGAAGCAACAGCACAGTTCGATTTCAACGCTAGATCGGAGAGAGAACTCAGCTTTAAAAAGGGTGATACTTTAACTTTATTTACGCAAGTTAGCAACGACTGGTGGCGAGGCTCATTGGCTGGCAGAGAAGGATTAATACCTGATAAATATATCATGTTGAAAATAAAGTAAGGCTTCTGCCTTGTTAATTATTTATCTCAAACAATAGGATTAGAAATTAATATTTCGTACGTTTGACAGAGATGAAGAACGAGAAAAAGAATTATTGAAATCATCCAGTGAAGAATCCATGAGACGAAGAGCTTCCAGTTCAGCAGACAGTGTTCTACCTAACAACAATTCACCATTGATGATGAGTTCAACTGGTACGTCGAACGCATGGTCTTCGACTCCTGTATCAGATATATCTATTACAACGAACACGATGTCAGGAGAAAATAATAGTACTAGCAGTGGTATCGTACCGGCAACTGTTGTTACACATGTGCCCTGCATTTCTTCGGCTCAACCTATCATCAGTCGAGAGGTATTAGAAACAACCGTTTAGCTACGCAATAGCTCTAATTAGTTTCCTTGTTCGTTATCAGTTTCTCTGCTTTTGTCGTAACTGTATATGTCTCTTTTTATTACGTGTACGTGCGTACGTGTTTTGCACAAAACGCATACACGTAAAAGACACAAATGGATCGTAAGCTCTAGGCACAAGTGCATGGCTATCGTGCTAGAAATATTTATTCTAATATTTTTTTGTGTATTTCTTTTTTTCTATTTTATATATATATATATACACACACACATATATATATATATATACTTTTCCCTTTTTTTTCCTTTTTTTTTTGTTTTTTTGTTTTTGTTTTCCTTGAATTCTTTTTCTCTTTCTCTCCTTCGAGTGCATTTTTCGTCGATGATATTTCTGCGATTCTGTTATTTCTTGAATGCACATACATCGTACGATTCGTAAAACACGAGCCTATCGCAGCCTATGCACAGCATCCATGAAAACACGCATTGCTTCGTTTCTTATCGAGAAGATCGAGACGAAAGAGACCAAAGTTTTTCTTCACTCACTCTCACATCGAATTGAGATTAGAAGATTGTTGATTTCGAAAGGAAAATCATTGAAAAGCAGTGGGAAAGGCAGAAAAAAACTTGATAAAGTTATTATCGATAGATATAAGATTTAATTTATCAGAAATATATAATGGATAGATATGATCTATACATCATTTGTACGATACATACATGCATACATGCATACATACATACATATATATATATGTATGTATATATATATATTTTGTAAATATATAAAATAGAAATATATACACTGTTCGTTGCTGCATGTGCCTTCGTCTCTGTCTCTTTTGTGCCGCCTGTGCCCTTTGTTTTTTGTGCATCGTATACATACACTACATACATACATAGAGAGAGAGAGAGGGAGAGGGAGAGAGAGAGAGAGAGAGAGAGAGAGAGAGAGAGAGAGAGAGAGAGAGAGAGAGAGAGAGAGAGAGAACGTGCATCGTGCATACAAAAGTGCATCGTGCAACGTTATTATGTCATTTTTATTTGTTTCTTTTGTTATTCCCGTTGGACAACATTTGGAATGTATTTAATAGTTGGGTTGGTTCCTGTTTTTCCAGATATACGTTTAACGTCAGCCTTTTAATCGTTGACGACAAAGTAAATCGTGTGCAAATACATAGAGTGTGTGAGAGAAAAATGCAAAACAGATATTATGTATACATATATGTATATATATATATATATATATATATATATATATATATATATATATATATATAATATGTATGTATGTATGTATGTATGTATGCACATATATATATATATATTATGTATATATATCTGTATATATACATATAAACTGTTCGATAAAACTGCTGACGAAAAGAGTGTGTTTTGTTGTGTGGTTTAGTAGTTTTGTGTTTCTTCTTTCTGTTTATTCGTTTGGTTTTGAAGGAGTTTGATGATTCAATTGCGCTTCGACTGAGAGGATCTACTTTTCCAATGGGATATTCTTTACAATTAGGTGAGTAAAAACAACAACAACAAAAAAAAAACAAGCAAGTGTCTCTCCCTTTCAGCTAACATCCTACCACCACCAACATCCATCATGGTGAAAGATAGGGAGAGCCCTAGGTATCTATTCTCATATTCGATGCGCTTAGAATAGATGCTTGTAGTTTTGTGTCGTTTTAGCATCTCTCTCATTTAGCCAACAGTTTTACGAGCAGTTTTTTGATCCTGCTTAAAAAAAGAAAAAAACAAAAAAAAACAAAAAAAAAAATACATATATATCATTGCACTACATTCATTCATCCATCATTCATCATTCATAGCAGCATATACGCTTTCTCTGGATTTCCTTTCTTTACACGTGCATGTAGATCATTCCTTCAATTTCGTTAAACACCATATCGACTATTTAAATTATGAAAAATGAAATTATCCATTGGAATTAAACGTTATCGAACATCGAAGCTAATCATTATTGCATCCCCTTTTCTTCTGCTTCGTTAAACATCGTTCGCTATCTTGTCAATATTTTATACAACAATTTAACTGGCGAATAATATTGAATTATTATGTGAAGTCGATGGGGATTAATTGCTGTTAGGAAAAGAAAGGAAGATAAAGATAAATTTTAAGAGAGAAAGAGAAGAAGAAGAGAGTAAAAAAGAACATTGAATTAATTCGATTAAAATTATTTTCAGGAATCCACAACGTCCGGGAAGTTTACCAAAGTATCGACTCCTGAAAATGAGAACATTTCAGAAAATCTTTTGGTATCGAACTCAATTGATTTGTCAATGATTGCACAAGAACGGATGGATGAAAACGAAGAAGCTGGAGGAGTAGGAGGAGGAATTGGAGGTGGTGGTGGGCAAGGTAACGAAAGCGGGATAAAAAGTCGAGGAGCTGGTAGAAAACAACATCATTGGAAATCGCAAAGCGTAGGGGAGTCTACGGTAACGGTGACAGTGACAACAGGTTCGGACGGTCATAATCAATGTATTTCTCAGAATTCCTCGAGCAATGGTTGTAACTTTCCTGGTGGTGATGGTGGACAATCCACCGAGGAGGATATACAACACGAACAAACAACTTTCTCAGCTAATCGAGAGCTCTGGCAAAGAAGAGCGACCTCTCAAACCCAATTAAATCCCCCAATACCACCAGGCGGCAACGCAACTACAACTTCTTCCAAATCTTATCGTAGCTCGCAGGAATTTCGAGAAATGCGACAAAAACAGACACCTGATCTCGTTATGGATTTACCATTGTCGGCACAGGACGCTAGTAAAAAGTCTGCTTCGTCTAGTAGCTTAAGTAGTTCCGACGACGAGACTAGTGTTGTTTTACCTAACAGAACCACCGAAGCAGCAACCTCACCAACAGGTGGTCCTGAATCACCGGACATGAGCACCGCTGCCGAACGTTTTGCTAAACAGAATCAGTGTACATTGAAAAAGAATACTAAGACTAATCCAGAAGGTTCGAAATTGAAACGTCTTGAAACAGCGGATCATTTGGAATCTACCGATATAGAAGGAACGGAAGAGATCGTAAGATCGGCCAGTACCAATCAAATATCAGATTCTCTGGCGCTTCGTTCACCATTGCCACCTAGATCAACGCCAAAAATCGTCGCTAAATTCGCGGATATGCATTTGACAGGTGGTAGCCAAGTATCCTCGTTCAAGCCTCAGGTCAAAGTCAAGCCAACAATTCTTCGAAAACCAGTTTTACCTTTCCCACATCCTCACATGAGCCCAGAACTCGCGAGGAAGATCGAAAAGCAGGCTCAGAGTGCCGAACAAGCTAATTGAAGATATACGCAAGTAATAATAATAATAATAATAATAATAACAACAATAATAATATAATATAATAATATATATAATAAAAAAAATAATAATATCGATTAACTTGTTCGATTTAGATATAAATCCGATCTACGATCATCATCATCATCATCATCATCATCATCATCATCATCATCATCCTTATCATCATCATTATCATCATTATCATCATTATCTTCTCCCACATCGACCAGTCACTCCGCCCATTACACTTCGCAAGGACTTATGTGTTACTCCGTGAGTTTCTCTAGAGAAAAGAAAAAAAAAACAAAAAAAAAAAAAAAAAGAAAGAAAACAAAAAAAAAGAAAAGAAACACGAAAAGAAGAAGAAGAAGAAGAAGGAAAAAAACGAGAACACGACGAAGAAAAAGAAAAGAAGAAAAATCGTCTGTGGCCGATAGCATGGTCCGTTTTATCTCAAGGCATACGAGATCTATAATACATTGATTCTTACATTGTTTTATCATTTATATTTAAAGGATCTTTTGAAGGAAAGACAGAGGAAACGGAAATGGGGGAAGAAAGATTCTCGCATTGAAAGCTTTTTGCTTAGGTAGAACGGGCCGCTACCGTCCTATGGGCGTGAGTTTATTTTTTCTACTGAATCTTTTCCATTTTCGCATATAATTTTTTTACCAAATGAACGAGAAATAAAATAAAATACAAATACAATACGATACAATAAAAAAATAAAATAAAGTAAAATAAAATAAAGTAAAATAAAATAAAATAAAATAAAATAAAATGAACCAGCGAAGGGAGACGTTTCTAGTCATCAAACGAAAGAAAGAGAGAAGAAGAGAAGAAACCGTGAATGAAAAAGAAAAGAAGATAAATAGGACGATGCATCGAATATAAATAATTTCATGTAGAAGAAGATGAAGAAGAAGATGAAGAAGAAGAAGAAGAAGAAGAAGATAAAAAAGATTACTTAGTCGACATGAGAATAATCTATGATTATATTATGTATGTAATTTATTTTTAAATCGCGAAATATCAGCATATCCAAGAACCTCCTCTTAACGATTTAATGATCATATTTGTGATTATTATAAACACGTTCGATGTTCCTTTAATGCGCAAACGAATATATGAGTTTTATCCGAAGAAGCTATATTTAACGTTGCGAGCTTCTTGTTCACAATATATGCATAATTAGTAGAGAAAGAGAGAGAGAGAGAGAGAGAGAGAGAGAGAGAGAGAGAGAGAGAGAGAGAGAGAGAGAGAGAGAGAGAGAGAGAGAGAGAATAAGAATAAGAGGAAAAGTGAGTGAGATAAATGATACTGGAGTGATATCGATATGGTGATCTTATACGTGCCAGTATCTAATAGTTATAAACATATATCATATATGTAAAAGTATACGTGTATGTATGAGTGTGTAGTTACGTACGCGTATACATGTGTACGAGTGTGCATGTATATATATATGTATTATATATATACAGAGTGTATGAAATGGAACGCCCTAATTTCTTTTGTTTTTATAACAAAACCTGGATGTTTCATTGCAGATCCTCTATATTTATATATATATATACGCTCACACACACACACAAACATATATATTTAACATATATATTGCGTACGCCTTAATTGTAGGTACTAATGCCGCAGCAATGTTCGATATATTCAAGAAGGAAGCAAGAAAGAAAGAAAAGAAAAGAAAAAAATATCAATAAGTATAATAATAATAATAATAATAATAATAATAATAATAATAATAAGTGTACAATAATAACGTATTTAACAATGAGAGAGAGAGAGACAAACGCGTATCTCAGCATCTGAAATATTTATATTGAATTTTCAACATTGAGAGAGAGATAGAGAGAGAATTATAAACGAAAATATAAGAAAGGACACACGCATACATACACATACATACATACATACATCATACATACATCATACATACATACAACATACATACAACATACATAAGAGACTAATAATGTGTTGTTAACGCCTTTTCATCATAATCACGTCGCATTTTTCAGCTGTTCGTACACATATTATTGGGGAAAAATGTATTATTCGCGAATAAAATAGCATCTATACATCATACGTACATACGTACATAACACACTCGTACACTTAACTAAATCGATATTAATGTAACGACATTGCATATAACACACATATATATATATATATATATATATATATATATATATATATATCTCGGTTATACAGTTCTCTTCACATAATCATCTTAATATTCTCTTGAAGAATCGAACTACACAACGGTGGATTTCATTACATCCTAATCTCCTCACCGAGAATAAATTATAAAAGGTAATGATCAAATAACTTGTATAACTCGTTTATTTTATTATCTCATTCATCAACATTATCATTATTATTATTATTAATAATAATAATAATATTAGTATTATCATTATCATTATTATTATTATGATCCAACGATCTGTATGATATTGAGATAACGAAGGAAAAATTGCAATTATTATTATTATACCCACCGCAATAAGATAATGCCAAAGTTTGTGAATACACAATCTCCTCTCCCTTATCCCTTTGTGAATTATTCAGAGTTGTGTACAATAATTGTCCGGTTTTATAGCGTCGTCGTTGACTATACTTTTAATCTCTTTACCCAATGGGGACACTAAAGTATAATAAGTAATTTTAATTCCCCTTCCTCCGTTCTCTGTGTTCCTCTTTGTGATCTCTTTCTCTTTCTCTCGATTAATTGTAATTGAATATGTAATTTTTAACAAAACAAAACAAAACAAAAAAAAAAGAAAAGAAAAAAAAAAGTTACATCTTTATATCGGTGATTTTAAGAAAGTATAAATGCCTAATATCTCGATGATTCTCTGTTATAAGGCTAATGATATCACTAATATAACATGAATAAAGGAAACTTATAGGCTCTGTAACATTCGATCGAGTAAAACATCCATTGAGCTCGTTTATTCCTTAAAATCCTTATTTTGAGAAATGAAATGAATGTTTTGTCCTTCGAAGGTATTTGTTATATTAATTATCCGATAAAGTTTCAGAGAAGGAAAAGGATGAGAAAGAATATAGAATAAATGGAGTCTCACGATATTCGTAATGTGTTGCCATCTGTCAAAGAATAAGATTGAAAATTCGCGCGCATTTACAGTCGATAACAAGCGCGCTCCGTCGATAAGTCAGCTGACATATCAGCTGATCGGCATGCCGTTTTGTATCAAGAATGTCAGAAATGTGCTCATGCGCATATATGTTAACCGTCGATTTTTTAGTTCTTTTACAGTTTATCGAACATTGTGCTTTTATTCGCTTATTCTTGTCTGGTATCTATAATAAAAAATATTACATTTATATGAGAAGAGAGAGAGAGAGAGAGAGAGAGAGAGAGAGAGGGAGAAAAAGGACAGCCGTTTGATATATCGAAATTGAGAAGAAAATTTCAGTATAATAACCATCGGCAATGTCACAAGAAGAGAGTAATAATGGCACGATTATTTTGTAAACGAATCAATTGATTTAAATAGATATTTACTTTGACATATATCACGAAGAAATTGTCAAGAGAAATTGTGTCAGCGCGATGTGTATCTTTATTGTCTGGTTTAACTTTGGCCGAAAATCATTTTGTTCTCGTATCTAAAAAGATATCTTCTATTCTTAGAAAAATCATTATTCGTCATATATTTGTCATTCAATGCTAATTTTGACACTTGACAATTGTCTAGAATATGGAGGCAGAGGAAGTTATACAAAATATTTTTGGAATTAATGATGCCATAATAATGTCAAAAACTAAATCCAAAACGTCCAACGTAAAGTTTTTGAGGTAACCTATAACATTGGTTATATTGAAATAATCCTAATTCTAATTGATATCCTTCTACCTTTTCTACCTTTTAATTTAACCAAGTTATATATTTGTAATGTTTTTTTTCTTTTTTTTTCTTTTTTTTTCTTTTGCAGTACTTCAGAAAGTTTAGATGTGGTTAAGATTTTCATTAACGAGACACTGGCCAAGTATGCTTGTGCAGAAAAATTGACAGACGATAGGGAGGGTCGTATAGGGCCTAAAACTGTCAAGTTTGATGTTAACACGCATACTGGCCTGTTCATTGTTTCGCCAGATAGATCGAGTATTATCGCTCAAGGGAATTTTTGTACAATGAAGGCTAATACAGCACTTTACAAAGGAAAATGGATGTACGAGCTTCAGCTTGGTTCTAAAGGTGTAATGCAAGTAGGCTGGGGAACTTCACGATGTAAATACGATATGGAGAGTGGAGTTGGTACGTATTATAAATTAATATAACGTCCGACAAATTGGATTAAGATATTTTTAAGGAAAACGATTAATCCCAAATGAATTATCCCAAGGAATAAAGTTTGTAATTTTTTAATAGGTGACACCGTTAACTCTTATGCTTATGACGGTCACCGTGTTAGAAAATGGAACGTGATACCAACTAAATACGGAGAGTCATGGCTTACAGGAGATATTATAGGATGTACATTAAATATGGATGATGGAACGATAGATTTTTATAGAAATGGAAGACATCTTGGGAGAGCATTTGATAATATATCCATGGGTCCTGGTATTGCTTACTTTCCAACTGTAAGCCTGACATTTACCGAAAATGTCACGGCTTTTTTTGGAGGCACTCCTTTAAGATATCCCTTAGAAGGTTATCAAGCTATTCAAGCTCCGCCAGAATCGCAAGTTATACAAGCTACATTTTTATTTCAATGGTTTACCCGTGTCATAGATTACGTAGTTAGTATAAAACAAACAAACGTTTCGTTGACTGATAGATCAATGACAGTACATGCATTTCTCATGTGCATTGCACAAAGCATCTTAATGCATATCGGTCCTTTGCTTACCATTCCATATATCGTCGAAGGTGTGTTCATTCCTTTTTTACACGAAATTTCTGGAATACAAAAATACGGAGCAAGGGACTCGTTGAAATTTCGTGAAAGTAAAGTAAGATTAATGACTTGCTTAGATCTTCTATGGACTTTTCTAGAGGAACGAGAGATGAGGTCTTGTTTAGACAGTACGCTCATCTATCTCTATTCGACGTTCAGGCACGTTTCCTTTTTCCTTGAATATTCGAATCAGTATAATAGTTTAATACTATTGATACAATTTTGTCTACATACCACGACTCGGCAACACTTTCTAAAGTACCTGCTTTTCGATCGTGTGAGATTTGCTAATTTTATTCACATTAAACCGATGGACGATGTTGGTCTAGCAAATGTAGTTCGGCAACCTTGGTGGGAAACCAATCCAATAGATCCATCTATTGCTATAAGGAAAGATGCATATATAGAAGCGTGCGAAAGTATTAAAGACTCAGTAGAGGGTACGTATGTCTAAATGATTTCTTTTTCGATCCATTTCCCATTATCTTCATTTTATTATTACAGAATTAGAAAATATACAACTTTGGTTATTAATGACTCTGCTTGATAATTCCGATGGTACTCCGAATAGACCTACATCGAGGACTATTTTTCTAAGAAAATTCAAACGTTTCGTTCATGAAAATCTAACAACGACTCGTGTAAGTATAAGGCGTTTGTTACGCTAATTCTAAATCTACGGATTACATTTAATTCCGAATATTCAGTCACAGTATTCCCCCAGACAACGCCGCATCTTCAGACTCCTTTGGTTCTTAGTCTCTGTTGCTTTCATCGGCTTTTGTCTGTATTCAAATATTTATGGAACGATGAAATTGGGGTCAGTCCCGTTTTCGTACCGTGCAAGTAAGCCGACACAAATTTCTTTTTCTTTTCTCCCCCCTCTTTAATTTTAATATTTAATTTTACGTAATTGGTAGAAAATTACTTAATTTATCTGTAGAAAACTAAAATATCAATGTGTCATAGATTATTCTACGATGGATCAATCAATTACTCCGGAATTGACAGATTGGGAGGAGTGTTATCTCACTTGAACAAGACCTTCAGAACAGAATTGGTTCAAATTTTGGGTCCAAATCACGAAGTGATCCTTTCTATGGAACAATCGCAAGATCAACCATTCCTCGCAAGACTGTCGGATTTACCAGTCGTCATACCTGCATTCGCTCACATGATTAATGTTAATGCATCAGCTCAAGGAAGTACCATGTTAGTGGAAAGAATGGGATATTTTAGCAGAGAGGACAGAACGCCACTGCGTTTAGGTCCATTAGACGCCGCCGTGTCTCTGTTAGAATTATTAGATGGGATTATATTGTTTTATCACGCGGCAGCGAGAAAACAAGTGGCAAAACTTGCTGTTCTTAAGGACAACATATCTGAATTTGAAGCCGCTCTTTCCGAGGCTAAAAAAAGATTGGATTATATTATCAATTATGAGGATGAGACGTCTCATTTAATTCAGGAAGAATTATTACGTTCGATAGAGGTGTTCACTAACAAATTGTCCGAACAGGCGAGGCAAATGGCTTGGATTCGTGCCGCAGTATTTTCAGAGGAAAAGCTAGTAGAGCTGGCTTGGTTTTTAGAAATGTTAACGTTAACATTGCAAAAAGCAAGCGGAGAAGGAAACATGTTCAGTTTTGTACCTGATTTTTATCTCGAAACCCTTTCCGATTTATGCGTTAGTATACGTAATCATATTCATCCTACTATGCCGATCGAGACGATACCAGATTATCAGAAGATGTTATTGGATATTGCTGAGTTCCTTTGCTCCCATTATCTTGATCCACGTATCGTTAATACAAATTCGAAAGAGATATTAATGATAACATTTGCTGGATTCATGTCGAATCCCATTACACTCGAGGCATTAGAAAATGTATCTTTAGAAAATAGATTGAAGGTAGTCGGAAATCTATTGAAACCCTTTGAAGCTAAAACATGGGCTCAGTCGAACTGGATACTCATGAGATTCTGGCAAGGTCATGGATTTGCATTTCGTTATGAAAAAAGTCCACATTTATGTAGGAAAGTCGGACCGAAATTATTGCAACAAGAACCTATGCATCAGTTGCTAAGTGCGTCCTTTCTTGATTCTTACTTATTAGTAATCATGATCTATAATTTATTCCATCAGCCGTTAAGTGCGTCCTTTTTTTATTCTTCACTCATTCTTCAATCACGATCTCCATTTTATTGTGTCCTCATCTGTTATTAATATTTCAGAACCTTATCCTTCTCTAATATATCAATTACATGTAAGAGATGGATTATTAGGGAAATCACAAAATACTGTACAATTTTTAAATTCTTTGTTGAATCAATTAAATTGGGCTTTCTCAGAGTTTATCGGTATGATACAAGAGATTCATAATATTTCGTCAAGACCCGAAAGGGTATTCATTGAGTCGAGACAACTCAAAATCTGTGCTACTTGCTTCGACTTGAGCGTTGCATTATTAAGAGTTTTAGAAATGTTTTGCACAGTTGCACCGGACATATTCATTGATCTTCGTCAGTCTTCTAGAGAAAATTTATTATCCAGATTATGTCAAGTAGGTGTTATATCTTTTCACATTCATTTCTTCGACGATGGTTTTACTCGTTAACAAAGAAACAAGATATAATGAAACATAATCTTCATTATTATTTTAGTTACTATGTCAAATATTAAACAGGATGAGCTCTCAAACCAGTTGTTTTCAACAAGTTGTACTATTGGAAATTCCAGATTTAGAATTGATAGATCATTTTCCAATACTTACGGCAGTTGTTGGAATATTGTTGGCATTACTTAAAGAAGACATGGCAGCATTTACGCGTAAGCATGAGAGAACAATGTAATGCAATAAATTCTAGATTATTTATTTCACAATTATTATCCAGCAAGACCATCGGCCGAAGTCCCTAAGGTTACGCGCACGTTATTAATAGAACCGAGTTTTCAAATCAGTTCTTTGTACTTCGTATTAGGGGAAAGTAATATAAAAATTCCAAAGGACAAAAGAAAAAGAATAAAACAATTTTCATTTTTAAATTGTAAGTATTATTCAGCCACGAATGATTTTTAAATGATTTTTAATCTAATTGTTCTTTTCTAATTTTAGATGAAGATTATGTAACGGACGAAGAGATCAGTCAAGTCAGAGCAATGATAAATTATTTGGATTACTGTCGTGATATCTTACCAGATTCAAAAGTATTAATGGACGATGAAAATATTTGTACCATTTGTTATGCCTTTCCAATAAGCGCAAAGTTTAAACCTTGTAATCATGAAACTTGTCGCTTTTGCATCGATCGTCACCTTCTCAATACAAGAGAATGCTTTTTTTGCAAAGCGACGATAAGTAAAGTTATCGATCTTTACGGTAATACTTTACACGACTTTTCTATGGAATCGACAAGTACCAAAGAATCCTTGATCCATTGATGGAAACGTCATTAAAATCATGTACACTCTGTTACAAGAAGTATATTAAAAAAATTTGAAATTATACAAGTACAATTGAAATTAAATTCTAACAAAAGCTAATATGTAAAAGGTAAATGTTATAAAATATTATAATAAAATAGGAGTTTATTTATCCGATACATCTTTCATTGCAATACATGCGCAATAACACAAATGCAGAATTAAGATGTTGCTACATAGAAAAGAGGTGAGTCTCTTGATAATAAAATAAAATAAAATAAAATAAAATAAAAAAAAAAAAAAAGAAAAAAGAAAAAGAAAAAAAAACCACCATTTCTTACAATTATTTGGCATGTGGCACACAATATAAAAATAAACAAATATCTACATCATCAGTCTTTCTCTGACGTCTTAATATTTTCAATAGATTTGGTAAAATTAGTTTTACATTTAAAAATAATTAAGAGCATAAATTTTCTCCAAGTCGTATCCTGAAACCTGTTACCAATGGTTGTTCGGCCAATGGTTTCTTTAAATCTTTAAGTGCTTGAATGGATACTATACCGCAGACAAAAGCACCTATCGCAGTAATCGTAATTGCTAAGAGAATAAGCAAACGATCCTTATTCAAATACAATTCAGGATCTTTGATGAGAGTACTTTGAAGAAGGCATATTCCTGGCAATATGAAAATAAACGTAGCCGATAATGCGCCTAATAAGTTAATAACCGGAGATATGTCTGGTACCAATATGGCTATAATTAATGACGCTATAAACCAAACGAACGTAATGAAGTTTCTCATTTTAACGTTCTCGTCGACGAACGTGCCAAACAGTGAGAGAATAGCATCCCGACCACAATATAAAACGATTGGATATACCGTAAAGTTTTTTATGGCGATAGAAATGACGGCTATAGTAACTATTATACTTTTATCCGAATATCCTTGAAGTATGTCGCTAGGTACCTTGCCCGTTCCAAATGTTGCATATCCAAGAATGCCAACTATCGTATAAACGGTAAAACAAATGATCATACTAATTACAGCAGTTATCGTGAATTTTCCAAGCTGTCGTTCTTTCATACAGGCATACATTGGTATCGCAGTCATGTGGCTCTATTGGGGGAAAAAAAAAAAGGAAAAAAATGAAACATATTATTCTTATTTTCTTTTATTATTCTTATATTAAATAATAATAATAATAATAATGAGGATCGATACCATCCTCTTGAGGTAAAAACAGTGATGTAACAAACCTGATATGCAAAACATATGATGGGAACTATATGTAATGCTTCGTATGCATTGTCAGGCCATATTTTCACAATCGTAGCAGTGGTCCTTGTAAAATTTTTGTAACTTATCAAACAGACCATGTACAGAACGGTTATACAACCGACAGAACTGGCACAACTTAAAGCATCCAATCGCTTAAAAAAACACAATGGAAATATGAAGACGAAACTAATTGCAGCAGTAACAAATTGTCTAGACAAATACCTGAAACAAGGACCGTGGTATGAATTCTACTTGGTTGCGTAAAACTTCATTTTAATAGACAATTGAATTATATATTTACCAAGTGTGACAATAATCCATTCCATAATACGTAGCTAAAACTCTATCCAATTGATCGCCGATTATGATTAAAAATGTTAGACAACATCCAAAACTATATACAGCAACGCACAGTGCACAGAGAAAAAGTGCACTTGGTCCGCACAAAGTTGCCAACGTATTCTGTATAGTCGTGGAGTTTGTAATATCGCTACAATTTGCTAAGACGATAAGAGCAGCCGTAATAAATATTAGAAATCCTAATTGAATGGTTATGGAAGTGACGATACCACCAGCTTTATCGAAGGCCTGTGGAAAATTTAAGAGTCCTGCTCCCAGAGTGGCATTTACGATCAAAAATATGGTACCCATAATGCTAGATCCTATAATCGATAATGTACATATAAATATTGTATTCTTTTAGAGTATAATTTTTGTTGAAATGACAGAAGAAGGAACCATAACTAACCAGTTCTAGTTTCACGAGTACGTATCTCCGAAGGACTAGGAGCAGTTGACAAAAAGACATCATTATTAATTAAACGATCGGTTTCACCGGTCAAACAATTCATGTTCGGCGCACGTTTTCAACAAGACTTAATAACTCAAACTACCAATTAATTCACATCATTCGTATCATTAACGATTGTCTGACAAACAAAAAAGAAAGAGGAGGTTTATCTATGAGCTCAGCCCGACACAAAGGGCAGAGGTCAAAATACCAGAAAACATTAATCGGACTTGATATAAAAAGAAATAAGGTGCAATGTATTCCAAAAGCAATATTTATAACGCACTTATCGCTAACTTGAAATAATACATTCTCTTTTTGAACCTAACATTCATTCGCCATTACTTTATTCGCTAATACATTTATAAAAGTTATTTAGTATCATGTCGATAATATAGATAGAGATTTGCCGATCGTCGATAACATAGTGCAATTTTATCGACTGTCGATAACAACTGTATAATATGAGCGTTAAGTGCGTATAACAAATTCAATTTCAAATTCATTCGAGAGAAACATTAATCGCGAACTGAGGAGAGTATAATTAATAAATAAAATTATTTTATATAATATTTAAACGCTAATATGTCGTTTCTCTTTGGGACTTTGTTGTCGTCGCCGCGGCATAATGAATTTAAGTAGAAGTATTATTCTAGAAGAACTACTACTTGGCTACGGTAAAGTGTTAGTAATATAATGTTTAAGCAGAATTAGATCGAAGAGATTAATAAAATGCATTGAAATATGCAGCCATTCGCTCGATAGTACTTGCGTTGCGTTGATTTATCATTGGATTTCAACAGGTCGCAAGTACTATCGACCCAGGTCTCACTACGTGGAAGTTGCTGCATGTGGAGACCCACGGACTGACGGTGACTCTACTCTAAAATCCGCGTTCCGCGATACCGATCCGCGATACCTTTCCGCTTCAATGCACAGGCTTCTTAACTAACAGGGTATGCGTAGCTTTAGCTACTGCACACCTCTTACAGATAGCTCCACCCTTTGCACCGTCCGCTTCAGACATAACGGATTATTAAGCACATCTGGATTTGTGCTTTCCGAATTTCGAACAAACAAAGCGCACTCCTTAGAAATACTAATCGCGTCGCGACACTCACGTGTGTGTTATAATTACGTAGATTCTACTGTTAAGCCGAAATTCGCGAAGTACCCCCAACGAAATTTTGAAGAAATCAAACGAAGCCCACGGTAGGACTTTTAATCGCGCCCGAACACCCACGCGAATGTTAGAAAAACGATGACTCTACTCTACAATTCGCGTATTCGATTCGAACAATCAAACGTAATATAATCGCGCCCGAGAACACCCACGCCTGTGCCCGCCGACACGCGCGCCAGTGTTCTTCCTATCCTTCCCGTATTCGCGCGTAAAAATCGAGGATGAATCCAGCCAGGCGACGATGCATCCGTCCACAGATGAACCTATCCCTCGATGACCTATCCTGTAAAAGAAAAAAATAAAGAGGAAATAAAAGAACAAAAGAATATATAAAACAGAAAACAATATATATATATATAATATAAACAGAAAATAAACATAATTAAAAACATAATTAAAAACATAAACACATAATTAAACACATAATTAAATACAGAATTAGAAAGAAACAACATAAATAAATATTAAAAATACATATTAAAAAGGAAATAACATAATAATAACATAATTGAAAACATAATTCAAAAAGAAAAATTTGAGATAGAAACGAGAGCCGAAGAAAGAAAAGAGAGCCCCAGAAAGAGAGGAATAGAGAGCCCCAAAAAGATAAGACAAGAGAAACAGTTCTATATGATGCTGAGACAGCAGCCCGCACAGAAGCCCTCGCCCACAGGCCCCGCCAGTGGGTCCCACCCGAGATATATAAAGAATAATTAATGAGATTAAATAAGAATTAATAAAAATGACAGTGGACATAAAAGAGAGATAGAAAAATTTCCTTCTTGTTCCTCTGAGAAATTATTGCAGAATAGATTTCTGCTATATTTCTTCTTCGGAAGTATTATTAGCGATATAAAGTGGAAAAATATTAATGTTCAGTTGGAATTAGATTAAAAAGATATTGGAAAAGTAAAAAAATATGCAGCCATTCGCTCAGTAATACTTGCGTTAAAGAATTTATAACTAGAGTATGCAAGTAATACCGACCCAGGTCTCACTACGTGGAAGTTGCTGCATGTGGAGACCCACGGACTGACGGTGACTCTACTCTAAAATCCGCGTTCCGCGTTACCGATCCGCGATACCTTTCCGCTTCAATGCACTGGCTTCTTAACTAACAGGGTATGCGTAGCTTTAGCTACTGCACACCTCTTACAGATAGCTCCACCATTTGCACCGTCTGCTTCAGACATAACGGATTATTAAGCACATCTGAATTCGTGCTTTCCGAATTACGAACAATCAAAGCGCACTCCTTAGAAATACTAATCGCGTCGCGACACTCACGTGTGTGTTATAATTACGTAGATTCTACTGTTAAGCCGAAATTCGCGAAGTACCCCCAACGAAATTTTGAAGAAATCAAACGAAGCCCACGGTAGGACTTTTAATCGCGCCCGAACACCCACGCGAATGTTAGAAAAACGATGACTCTACTCTACAATCCGCGTATTCGATTCGAACAATCAAACGTAATATAATCGCGCCCGAGAACACCCACGCCTGTGCCCGCCGACACGCGCGCCAGTGTTCTTCCTATCCTTCCCGTATTCGCGCGTAAAAATCGAGGATGAATCCAGCCAGGCGACGACGCATCCGTCCGCAGATGAAGCTATCCCTCGATGACCTATCCTGTAAAAGAAAAAGATAAAGAGGAAAAAAAGAGAACAAAAAAATATATAAAACAAAAAATAATATATATACACATATAGAAAATACAAATAGAAAATATACATAAATAGATAAGAGACCTAGAAAAGGAAACGAAAAGAGAAGCAGCATGCATCATCCCATAAGTCCTACCTACAGCAACTAAATGATAATTAATAGAAATATATTAAAAACACAATTAAACACATAATTAAAAACATAATTAAAAGGAAATAACATATTAATAACCCAATTGAAAAACATAATTGAAAAAGAAAAATATGATATAGAAACGAGAGCCGGAAAAAAAAAGAGAGCCCAAGAAAGAGAAGAATAGAGAGCCCCAAAAAGAGAAGACAAGAGAAACAGTTCTATATGATGCTGAGACAGCAGCCCGCACAGAAGCCCTCGCCCACAGGCCCCGCCAGTGGGTCCCACCCGAGATATATAAAGAATAATTAATGAGATTAAATAAGAATTAATAAAAATGACAGTGGACATAAAAGAGAGATAGAAAAATTTCCTTCTTGTTCCTCTGAGAAATTATTGCAGAATAGATTTCTGCTATATTTCTTCTTCGGAAGTATTATTAGCGATATAAAGTGGAAAAATATTAATGTTCAGTTGGAATTAGATTAAAAAGATATTGGAAAAGTAAAAAAATATGCAGCCATTCGCTCAGTAATACTTGCGTTAAAGAATTTATGATTAGAGTATGCAAGTAATACTGACCCAGGTCTCACTACGTGGAAGTTGCTGCATGTGGAGACCCACGAGCTAACGGTGACTCTACTTTACTCTAAAATTCGCGTTCCGCGATACCGACCCTTATGCCTTCCGCTTCGAATATCTTGGGCATGGGACAAAGCTAACAGGAAGTATCTAGCCTTAGCTACAGGGACTCCACTTACAGAAAGCTTAACCGTTCGACACCCTCCGCCTCAGGCATAACGGATTATTAAGCACATCTGAATTCGTGCATCCGAATTTCGAACAATCAAATCGCATTAATCGCGTTCGCGGCACTCACGTGTGTTATAATTACGTAGATTCTACTGTTCTATCCAAATTCGCGAAGTAATCTAATCGATATGTCGAAGAAATAAAACGAAGTCCACGTTAGGACCTTTAAACGCGCAAGCGAACACTTACGAGAGTGTTAGAATAATGGTGACTCTAAGTTGAAATCCAAAGCGAACTCCGAATTTCAACATTAAAACGAAGTCCATGATAGGACTTTTAATC